GTGGCTTGCTTTTCCAGTCCTTTCTCCCTGGAGAGGCTGAGAAGTGCTGCCCTGGGGCAGTTATTGGGTAGCGTTTTGGGGATGCTGTAGGAGACCAAATGGAAATATTTGAGCTATCCTGCATATCCCAGGATTGATTTTTGTGTTTGTGTGCTGCTGTCTGGTTATGGGTCTGCCCTTCCCCAACAGCCCTTTACATCTGGAAGGTTTCTGGTTGTCTAAACAGCTCTTTCAGTTATTTTGACGTAGTTTTAGGTATTTTGTATGCTGCACTCTCTGATCAGTGAGATCCTCAACGTAATTGGACTCTAGGTCGGGATTAACATTGTACAGTGATGGTGTGTGTTGTTGTGAGGTCTCAAGAATATATTTGTAGATGTGGAGCTGGGATCTTGTTTTGAAACTCCAGATACCAAGATTTTGGACTTTTAGTTATTCTCAGGACAGTCCTGCTGTCTCAGAAACTGACCTCAGAACTGGGTTTTCTTCAGAAGATGTTCATAACCTCTGTCCTCTGCTATTTGCTCCAGCTACAGATCCTGCTTCAAAATTGAAGCCGTGGTTGATTACTTGAAGTAATTTGGGATGGAATTCATCTGCACTGTTGCCAGCCATCAAAGGGCAGGCACCCAGTCTGCAGAACGTGTAGGTTGGCTCTGTAGCCCATGGGGAGAGGAACACCCCTGGGGGAACACCTCCAGAGGTGGTTCATCCCCTTGGTTCAGACACCTGCTGAAGGACAAAATCACTCTCTCTCTCACCCGTGGCAGGTAGAGAGGTCATACGGGGTTTCTGTAGACTGGATGTCTAAGTTTAGGCTGATGGAGTTGGTTGAAATTAATTCATTAAGCTCCTTCTTAGCTGCACTGGAAATTTTTTGATGTAAAATGTTTCTGTATTCCAGATACATTGCTTTTTTTTTTAATGCAAAAAAAGCAGGGCTTGGAAAAGATTTATAATTTGAAACAAAACAGTCCTGCTCGTCTTTAGTTGTGAATCCTTTGCACTTGTGTTTTAAATTAAAGTAGTTCTTGATTTATTCATAAGCCTGTTACAGTGTTGAGATGCTTAAAAATGTGTCTTGTACTTCAGAGATGCGAGTGTGAACATTGGAGTCTGCTCCAACTTCCCTGTTCTGTGGCTATATGGCTTCTAAAACAAGAGGAGACTGGGGCAGGACCTGGATCCTGAGTCCTCAAACAAAGGTTTCTTGGAGACAGGGATGACAGGTTTAGCATTTAACACCATTTTATACTTTAGCCCAAATCTGACTAAATACAGTGAGGGAAGGCCCTGAAAAAATTCCATTCAAGTATCTTATAAAATTTTAAAATCTCATTACCATATTTGTGAGGAATGCAGAAAGGATCCATCTTCCTGTGCAGTGTAGAATTCAATTCCTGCTTCTCATGTTTCTCTCTTTACAGTTCATGCACGGCCCAGCACCAATTAACTGCTCCATTACTTAGATGAGTGTGGAATCAAACATAAATCCTAAGATAAATCTAGATTAGCTGAAAGATTGAAGCTCCGTCTCCAGGGCCAACAGCAACTTCCCCAGGAACCAGGCAGCCAGGCAGGAGAATGAGGATGCAGAGCAGGTTTGGAATTTGTATTGCAGTAGTGTTCAGGTCGGGATTTCATGTATGCTTGGTGACATTTGATTGTACAACAAGGTGTAGCCTCTTCTCTGACGAGCTCAGAGCCTACTCAGTGGGTAATTATGCTCAGAGATGCTGTTTTCTCTGAGTATCTTTCCTTTTCTACAAGGGTGCACTTGTGTCTCAGGGTTTGCTGCTGTTCTATGTCATGTTTCCCCTGAATCCTTCCCTTTTATTTTCCTTCCTGTCAGCTTTGCTGGTATAGAGCCTTTTTTCTTGCTGGCATAGCCCTGGCAATCAGCATCCAAAGGCCTTTGAAGGTGGCACATGGTATTTATATGAACAATTTGCTGAATCAAACAGGGAGTCTGTCAGTGCTGTCACATCCCAATTGCACTGGTTTATCTATAATGGTGCCTGTCTTCTTCCAACAGGCCTCTGATGTTGGATGCAGCAGCTTGTTATCCCATTTCTTTTGGAACAGAACAAATCTTTGTCTAGAGGTCCCTGGTTTTTAACCAGTGGCAACAGAAGGATCCTGGTTCAAATGAGATTCCTGAATTTGACATTGTTCAGTTTGGTTTGAGACAAGCACCACCCTTCACCTGCAGACTGGGAAGAGCTGCTGGCTGTGCCCTGGGACCAGGGTATATATGGGGATAACAAGTAACAATCTAGATAATCTTGGGGAATCTTCATGTGTGGGATACATGCAGGGCAGTGAGAGTATCTCTAAAATGGAATAGATGCTGTGCAGCAGCTCCTTCTCTGAGTGCCTTAGGCACATTAGCAGTACCTTTGTTATGGAGGTAAAAAGGACATTTAGGTACAGTGTCTCCTGTTTGTGACCTTTGCTGGGGTTGGAGTCCTCCTCTGCTTTAGACATCCCCATTATCTAATTTTTAATTATCTAGTACAAAGATTGACCTCACTTAAATATTTTGGGCGGCAGCGTAAGATCTAGAATATGCCACTTAAAAGATGAAAATTTGGAAAGGATCAGAGATTGTACCTGAATCTGCTGCTGTTCAGTGTCTGACTAGATGTTATTGTCTCAATTGCCATTGAATTGGGGTTCTGTGTGTAATGACAGGCCTGATGAGAGGCCTGTCTGAGCAAAATACCACATGGCCCTGTGCTTGGCAGGTAAGTGAAAACACAGGCAGGGCTGCACAGGAAGGAATCCTCAAGGATGTCTGAATCCCATGGGAAGAAATAGTGCTGGAAAATCAGATGGCCTCCCTCCTCTGCAGTCCGTGAGTAACCAAACTGTGGTGTGACTGAATTGTGCTGCTGGAGGGGTTCAAGGTGTGCTCGGGAACTGTTGCAGTAACATTTGGTTTAGTGCCTTTATTTATTATTATTTATTTGTTTGTCCGTTTCCCATCTTGCAGAACTTTTTGTGCAGATGGGGAGGTGTTGGAGGCACTGCGGCGTGCGGGCTCAGAGGCACCCTGGGCAGAAAGGGGGTGATGCAGAGTGTGATCTCTGCTTCATAGGAGCCCTGGCTTTGCTTTTAGTGATGCTTTGATGTGCACTCTGAAAAGTACGTTTAGAAGGTGTTTTTTAGCACTGAGGTGAAATCCGTGTAAAAGATTGCAGCTGTTTTTCATGAAATTTGGCATTAAGCACCTGTGCCAGTGTTGGGTTCCATAACGGAAGGGTTGAAGTGCAGCAACTGTGATGGGGTTGTAAGGGCACAAGTTGTTGTGATGGGTTTCCTTGCTCAGGTTTCAAACATCAGTGGACATTAATGCCACGAATTCCATATGCTGAAGTTCCATTTTCTAAGCCCTGTATCATGGTCCAGCTGAGCTCTGGTCAATTTTGAAATGCTCATGCCTCAAGGAGCCCCCTGCAGAGCGTTTTGCTCGGGTGCTGTGTCAGGCCTTGCTTTGGCCTCTGGGTTTGTGCTGTCCAGAGCTGTCGGGGCACTGGTGCTCTGCATGGGGAAGGGACAGAGGAGTTCAGCTTGAGGAGAGCAGAGCAATGGGTTCTGCTGGCTCTCACGTGGCTCCTGGGGGAGCAGTTGACACAAGGCAGGAATTAGAGGTCTCCAGGCTGGAAAGTGAAGCTGTTCGGGAATTGTGCCAGGCTGGAGGGAAGGAGACTGTAGTAATGTTGTCCAGTGTCACATCTTGTGCTGTTGGTAGGAGCAGCCTGTGAGATTGAACCTGGCCAACCTGACTTGGAGTGTTTGTCCTGTCGTGTGCTGTGTGGAGGGAGAGAGCATGTCCTGCCTGCCTGCCACTACCACTGTCCCTGTGCAACATAATCTTTAGGGTGTGGCCCTGGAGGAAGGAAAAACTCCTGCAAGCCCCGTCCCTGCTGTTATGTCCTGGTTTTCCATGCATGTCTCTCTGACTCAGGTTTATTCTGAGGGATTCGTTTCCAGAGAGGGTTTGAGGGAAAAATCCAGCCCTGGAATTTTGGCAGTGTGTGGAAAAGGGGCTACCTTCTGCCCACGTTCTTGTCTGACATTGGTGTCTGGGTTCCCTCCAGGGAGAAATGGGACAAATTTTCAATGAAATAACCTCTAAAAAGCTCCTCTGGAGGGGTTTGAGTGGCCAGAGCTGGTGACGCACTGGTGTAGGATGCAGGGTTCAGTGCCCCTGTGCTCTGGTTTGGAACTGCCAATGCTGCCTCTCTGGATTTAAGATGAAAACTCCAACTAATCCCTGGCTGCAGTTGAACCTTGCTGGGATGTTTGTCCTCTGATGAGGAAGGGCCTCAAACACCACAGGGACAGAGACAGGTGGACAGACAACCACACAGGGACGTGGACACACAGACTCACAGACATGCACACACAGGAACAGGGACACGCACAGACATGCACAGAACACAGATACACACCCACACGGACACACAGGGACACACACAGGGACACAGCCACACAGGCCCAGACACTGTGACGGAGACATGAACAGACAGATGTGGAGACACATGGACAGACACAGAGGACACATGCAAGGATTGACACACACTGCTGGATACAGAGACACAGACATGCAGACACATGCACATGCTCGCAGACATGGACAGACAGACATGGACACATAGAGCTGCATGGATACAAAGACATGAACACACACTCAGGCGCAGAGAAATACACATGGACACAGCTGGATAGATGGACACAGACAGACATGTGGACACACACACAGCCCACACTGAGACATGGATCACACACACACACACGTGGACATACAGACACAAATAGACAGACACCAGACACACAAACATGGACACATACATACCTGGATCCGGAGACACTCACACGAACACAGGGATGTGGAGACAGCTACACAGACAGCTGGACACAGACATCGAGATGGACACACAGCGTGACAGACACACACACTAACTGCAGCTAAGTAACAAGTGACACACTTGTTTAAGAACTGCTATGTTTTATTTTTTTTAGAAAATAAATAGCTCAGAAATGTACAATCCATAATTCCAGTACTCTGGTGACACCACAGGGGAGATGTGGACCCTTGTTGGGCGTTCAGACTAGACTTGGAACATGCTGTTTGTTACCTGCTTGAGCTGGGGTTTGGTTTCTATAGCAGCATTTGTAATTGTTTATTAATGCAGCTTCAGGTGTAACTGTTTTCCTGTAGGACACACAGCATGGTGTGGTTTGCTGTGGTTGAACCCACTTCCCACCCCTATCCCCACCTGTGGTGTCTCTTTGTATCAGTGTTTAGCTTTGTTTATTGCTGTTTCATTGAACCGTGTGGAAGATGTTAGGAGGAGTTGGACTGATGTGAAGAGATGCATGTGAGGAATGATGAGGGAACTGACTCTAAAAACTGATCTGAATGCAAAGTAAATATTCCTGTAGCTGCTGCTGTGATGCCAACAGGGAGTTGGTCTGCAGGCACAGGCCCTTTCCCACTGCTAAAACACCTCAGAGCTCAGACTGGGAAGACAGAGAGTGAAGTACTCTGAAGGGTGAGCTCTCCAGACTGCTTCCAGATGTCTGGGATAATGTAGTACATTCCTGAAGGATTTCAGGAGCTCCCCAGAATAGAAAGGGATGGCAGTAGTTTGTGAAGCTGGTTGTTACTTCACCATACACCTTCTTGCAATGAACAGTAAGGAAGAGCCTCATCTCAGAATATGCTCTCTTCTATCTCCACATCCATTCCAGCTCCCAAGGGCTGAGTCATTGCCAGTGTAAGCCTGGACACCTCTGCCACTGGGGTATTTCCTTCCAGTTGGTCTGTAGAGCCTTGTTCTCCCTCAGGAATGCTCTGACCTGCTTCCTTCCTAGTCTGTGGTTCTCCAGGAAAGCTGGCTTTGGTGTAGTTCTTCACCATCTCCTGAACCTCCATGTTCAGAGCTCTCAACTTCTCCTCATATTCCACCCGTACCTGCTGCTGGAGCTGCAAATGGAGAATCAGGTTATTCCCACACACTGGTGCCAAGCAGAGAGAACAGGAGCTCTGGGATGAGCTGTTGGTCCTTCTGGGGTCTTTGTGCGCGCTCTCATCCACTTTCTCACCCCCTGGCCATGGGTGGGCTGAGGGTGGCCATCAAGATTGATTCTCTGGGGGTTTGGACTTCTTGTGCCAAGGAACAGCCCTGACCCTAAACGTTGTTCTTACCTGGCTTTCTCTCTCTTTGATGGACTGAAGATTTGCTGCCTGCTTCTCCTCCAGTTTCTGCTGGAACCTGCCAGTCTTCTCTGTCACCTTTAAAAAGAATAAATTAATCCCCCTCAGGTTCCAGTTTTATAAGCAAGGGCTTTGGACAGCCCATGCTCAGCCCAGCAGGGTGGGCCAGGAGCAGCAGCCTGGATTCAGGGACACCACAACAGCCTGGCAGATGGAGTGCACATGGGCACGTGGGACTTAGGGACACACACACAGAGATACATGGATACAGAGACTTGCAGTAAGGACAGACACCTGGATGCACACAGGCACAGGGATACATGTACTCACACAAAGACAGTCAGACGCAAGTACACATGGACAGACACACAGATGGACATGGACACACACAGATGGACACACAGTCACAAGGGCACTGATGGAGATGGATACAGACAGCTGGACTCAAACACCCATGGACACACTCACACAGACACACATATGGCACATAGACACAGGACATGGACACAAAAATGGAGATCCACACAGACATGGATGCAGACACAGGGACACATGCACACAAATGCAGTCATGCAGACACAGGCAGACACGGGCAGAGAGGTACAGGCAGGGACACATGGATACAGGCACAGACACATGGACACAGATACATGGACAGAGACAGATACAGACACATAGGTGTGCTTATACATGGACAAAGGCAGACACACAGGCATACATAGGACACAGGCAGACATTTGGATAGACACACACAGACAGACGTGGGCAGACACACAGCTGCACACACAGACAGATGTACACACACGGAGACACCGGCAGGCACATGGACACACAGACATAGGCAGACATAGACACGAACACGGATACTTGGACACACACGTGGATAGGGACATAGAGGCACAGACACGCACCTCGACACACCCACCCCCTGGATGTGAACATACAGACACAAAGAGACACACAAAAGGACACAGAGAAACAGGGACACAGATGCACATGCACAGACACAGGCAGAGAGATAGGGATGCAGACACATGGACACACAAGCACACAGATAAACAGACATGCATACAGACAGACACACGGACCCAGACAGACCGGCCCATGGACAGACACAGAAACATGGACACAAATGTGGATGGACACAGACACACATATAGACATAGGCAGACACACGGACTATGGGCATGGACAGAGACACACAGGGACACGCACACAGACACAGGATGTGGACACATACGGATAAGGACACAGGTGCACATACACACTGACACAGGCAGACATACAGATACAAGTGGACACATGGAGAAGGACGCACATGGCCACAGGCATGGACACAGACGCACAAAGACACATGGATGCAGAAACACAGGGACGTACAAAGACAGACACACAGACACAAACGTCATTACATGGATACAGGCAGATACAGGTGGACACACGTAGACACAAACATGGACACAGGGAGACAAACGGACATGCATAAGGACGTGGGCACAGACATAGAGACGGACACAGGCAGACATGTGGACACACACATTCCTAGGCAGAGGCGCAGAGACATGCAGATACAGAAATACCTGGATACAGCCACACTGGCACACAGACATACACACGCCTGGACATGGGGACACAGGCAGAAACACATGGTCACAGATGTGGACAGACAAACAGATGCACATCGACCACCACAAGGACACACATTGACACGGACACAAAGACAGACATGAACATACACTCAGGCACAGGCACACAGAAATACACAAGACACGCACAGCTGGACACACAGGCACATGGACACACAGACTCCCACCAGAATGTGGACATAGACACACAAAAACACCTGGAGATGAACAGACACACATGGATGACACACCCACTCATGGACAGATACATGCAGATGGACACCCAGACATACACAGAGACACACAGACTCACACATGTAAACACAAACATTGACAGACACAGATAGACATAGTGACAAGCAGACATACATCCCCCCCAGCACAGCCACGTGCCCACATTCAGGGACACAGGCAACACAAAGACACTCCTAGACACAAGGACAGACAAACATGGACACAGATACAAAGGTTCACAAAGACATGGGCTCATGCACACACAGAAACAGACACCCAGACATCTGCATGGACACACAGACACCTACGTGGACATGCACACAGGAATAGAGTAACATGTGGAGACACAGGCAGGGATACAGACAGAGAGACAAAGGCTGGCACAGACACCCAGACAAGTATAGATACACACAGACACACCCACACTTGGACCCATGGACAGATACACTTGGCACATGAAGACAGATGCCCGATCACAGGGCACACAGATGGACAAACGTACATGGAGATTCACACCCACAGATACACACACGAGGACAGACTCCTGGATATAGAGACACATGCACACACATACATGGAAAAACACAGACATACACGGATACACACACAAAGACAAGTGGAGAGAGACTCACCCTAAGGCAGACACACCCAAACATGCACACTGGGATGCATGGACACACACAGACACAAAGTATCTCTGACACAGGGGCATATGGAAACACAAACACATGGATACATGCACAGACATACACGGACAAGCACAGATGGACACAGGCACACGGACACAGACGGGCACGGAGACACCTGGACCCACGGACATACGCATTCAGATACTCAGACAGAGAGACACAGGGACACATACCCTGACCCAGACACACTGACATGACACAGACATGTGGACTTGACACACAGAGGTATGGACAGAGACCAATACACAAGAGACACAGATGGACACACAGATGCAGCTGGACATGTGGCCACACAGACACAGATGGACAAATGGACTCAAATGCTGACACTCACTGAGGGACCCTCACTGACAGATGGACATGGGTCTTCAAAGGGCAGAGCTGGGGTCCTTGAGGTGTCTTTGCTCCCGCTGGGCTTTCCCATTGTTCCCGAGACACGGGTTACAAAAGCCCCAGACACACTGAGTTCCCCTGGCCACCCCCTGCAGAACCCAGAGCTGCTGGGGCAGCCTGAGCCCCCTGAACTCACCCGTTTCACTGTCTGCACCACTTCCTGAATGTGGGAATTGTTAATTTCTTTCTTCAACCTTTAAAGAGAATTATAAAACCCTGTAAAATCCAGCTGTTCTCCTTCCATAAAACCCATTTGTCAGTACTGATCAGTACTATACTAACCAACAGGTGTGTTACATTCCCACCCTGCCGTACCACAGGGAGAAGCTGCTGTACTTTTAGAAAGGACAAATAAAACACCAAAACACCACTCAGAGCTGGCTGAGCCATAAGGCAAATAACTGGATGCAAAATTCTACTTTCTCATCTTCTAAGTCAGCAGGAGACCCTGCATCCTGCACGGCCAGAGCCCAGGAACATCCACTCCCGCACCTCTCCTGAGCAGCCTTGTCACTGGTATTCCTCAGCATGGCCTGGACACGCTCCACCCTCTTTGCCTCCATCCGCTTCTTAATGTCTTTAATGTTGCTGTGGAGAGAAGAGAGGAGATACAGGCCTGGTTACCAGCCCCAGACAGCAGAGCAGTCCTCCATCCACAGCTCTCTGGAGCGCTCCACTGTTCAGAAACACCAAATGTGGGAGCCGGTGCAGCAGGAGGCCTGGAGCATCACAGATATTTTAAGTCCTGAATCAGGACGTGTCCTGGCCCAGCAGTGGAGGCAGCACATGCTAAAGGCAAGTCTAAGAAAGAACAAGTATATGGGAAATTTTCCCTCCTCCACCTTCCCAATTTCCAGAAGGGAAATAACAGCCTATCCTCCAGTATCTATGCATGTATCATGTTCCATGATGTCACTCATACTTTATAGAGTTCACCTTCACTTTTGGATTTCACAGCTCTTTGCTGTGAGAGGAACAGTAGTTAATTTATACACAATGTGACAGAGGCACCTGAGACATTCACTGGATGTCCCACCCTTCTTTCCAATGAGCAACAGTGAGCAATCACTTCCCTCTTCCAGACCATTCATGATTTACACATTCCTGTCACATTCCCTCACACATCTGTTCTCCTAGCTGTCCCATTTAATTCCTTTTTGTGCAGAAATTCCTCCCCAGTGCTGGCTGTTCTTCTTGTTCTTTCAAAGACTTTGTTTGAGATGGCACACTGAGAAGGGGACAGCTCAGTGCAGATGGACTCAGTGGCACAAGGCTGACTCAATCTTTTTTTTGTTTCCCTGTACAATTCCCAAAATCCTGTTTGCCATTTTGGCCACTGCAGAGCTGGGAATGAGGAACATCCACAGCAGCTGAAGATCTTTTACCTGGTGCCAAAACCAGTGCACTGATGGGCTAAGGCCAGGGTTTTCCATTCACATTATTTTATATTTATTCCTGCTGAACTGAACTGCCATTTCATTGCCTGTTGCTGCAGATCTTAAAATCCTTCTGGAGCTTCTCCCATCCAGGGAGATGTGACTGTACTAATGGCATCCTACTGTCAGCAAACCATTACCTGGCTACTCACCTGTTCCCTTAGATTTGCCTGAATATACTGAATAGCTGAATAAAGAGATTCTGGCTTGAGACAGGACACAAAAAGAGGCAGTTTTATATGAATTTGCAGCTAAAGACTGAAACAGGATTTAATGGGAAGCAGGAATGAGTGAGGATTTCAGCTTCAGGACAAAGTTCTTGCAAGAACAAATGGATACATGTCTGGCTAGAAACTGGTCAATTGATTCTGCCAATTTGTTTAAATACTGGAGCCAAGCTGCTCAATTCACTTAGAGCAGATCAGTCCCTGGAAGGGATTAATGTGAGGTCCTGACTGCAAGAGACAGAGGTGGCAGCCAGGGACCAGCAGTGTATTTCCTATCCTTCCCCCTCAGTGTCTCCAGGCTGCTCACTGCAGATGGAACTCTGTATCCTGCTTGGTGCCTCCTGGCAGCAACACTGTTCTGGGGATCACAAGAGGCACCTTCCCCCCATACCACTGTGTGAGATCCCCTGTCACATCCCCCTGCCTCAGTTTCTCACCAAAGGAAACGAAAACCTTTTCTTCCCTATCCTCCCTCCCTGGCTGCAGAGCAGAGCTGTGAGATCCAGCAGAAAGTGCTGCCCAGAGCAGAGCCTGGTGTTACTTGTGATTCCACTGCCATATTTACCTTTCTGACGTGTCCCTCAGCACCCGCAGCTCAGCTGCCTGCTTCTCCCTGGCCAGCTCCAGGATCCTGGCAACTTGCTGTTTAAGGGATGAACACAAGACCAAAAGGGAACAAACCAGGATGAGACACTGCACCCCATCTGCATCCAGTCACACCCAAGTCAGCTGTACACCTCCCTGCACTGAATTCCAGGAGCAACAAATTCTGAATCCCCAAGGCTCAGTGCAAACACTGGCACAGGAGTGAGCTCAGCTGTACACGCAGGCCCCACTGTGCCAATGGACTGCACTTGTGAGACAGGAAGGTTTCATCCCTGGCTCCTCTCCCAGGTAAGAAACCTGATTCCCAGGTGAGCCCGTGCCCAAGTGTTATCCCCCTGTCAGGGTTGCACACAGCTTGCAAGAGGCATGTCAAGCCTAAGGTGCACCAGGGAACTGAAGATTTAAGATGTATCAGTGCAAATTCCTTCAGAAAACACTAATGGGAAAAGGCCTCCCAAGCCTGGAATCACTCCCTTTTCATTGGAACAGATAGCATATGTTGGATTTACGATCACCACCATCCCATAGCCTGCACTCTGTCCCCAGGCACCACCGTGGCTCCTTCTGGCCTTTGCTGAGCTCAGCCTGCAGGACTCTCCTCACCTGGACTCTGACTTCCACCAAGTCAAACAGCAGAACACACCCTGATGGTGCCACTGGTGAACCCTCAGCCCACTCCCACATCACCCCGGCTCCCAGAGAGGTGGCACCTGGCAAGGTGTGAAGCCACTAAACACCACATTAACTCCATGCTAAGGCATCAGAAGAGCTGGAGCAGATGGAGCGTGATGTGCTCCAGGGAAATGCTACTCTCGTTTTAAAAAACAGCAGACATACAAAAATGTTTCTGCAGGATTTTTAGGGCTTCTAAGAAATAAACTTCATGTCTTCATTCTCAGTTACCTGGGGTGTGCATGTGTCAGGTATGTTCTGGGCCCACATACCCAAGCTCAGTTTAGTGAATAACTTGGGATTTTTGGGGCCGTTCCAGGATACATTTTCAGGTGACACTTGCAGCCCTCACCTCGGTAGCGTGCTGCTCTTTCTTCCTTCGGATCCGGTTGTGGTGCTCCTCCCCAAGGTGGATGAGGTCCATCTCCAGCCTCTCCCTCAGCTCCACGAGCCAGTGGCAGTCGATGCTGTCTGCTGCTTTTACAGGATGTGCACTGGTACCAGCATCACTTGGGGTCACACTCCTGCAGAACAGAAACGGGGGCCATGCTGCTTCTCACCCTGCCAATACAATCCCAACCTTGCCACCTGCCCTCAGGGAGAACAACCCAGGGACATGCACATGCCTGCACTGCTCCATCTTCTGGCAGACAAGGGAAGGCCATGTTTCCCTGGGGATCCTTGGTTTGGTTTGGGAAGGTGACCCCAGGCTGTGGTTACCTCTTCTTCTGTGTTTTCCTTGTGCGTATTGTCCTTTTCTTGCCCCCAGGGCAGGCCAGCTCCGAAAAGAGCCCGGAGTATTTCTGCAGCAGCTCCTCCCTCTGTTTGCTGCCCTTCCACTCCAGCTCCCTCAGCTCCTTCTCCTGCCTCTTCAGCAGCTTCAGGAAGCGCTTCTTCTGCTGCAGCTCAGCAAGGGTGATTGTCTCAGGCTCTGAAACACAAAATAAAAAGGCTGAACAGTGCCAGCTCCTTCCCAAGACTTGGAGTGGGGAGACTGGAGCATAGAGCTCCAACACATGTCCCTTGATCACCACATCCAGACCAGAGCCCCCTCTGCTCCACACCTTGGGATGCCTCTCCCCAGGTAGATATTCTGTCCTGGCAAACACTTCTCTAGGAATATCTTCTAAAAAAGCAATGTACATAACAGTAATTTGCCAACACATCCTGAGTGAAACTTTCCTCTCGTGCCTTCAGTTTTGGGGCACAATTAGGCCTCGTGTTTGCAGGAATTGGCATCACATTGCATTCAGGCACCCGGAAGCAGGTGAACATGTTGCACAGGGAGTGCAGGTGTGCTGAAGGAAACCTGTCCTGGAGCCCCAGGACTCCTGGGATTTGTCTTTAGTGCTGGCTACACCAGGCGGGGTTGGGACATGTCTTTTTAATTTGGAAATGTAAGATGACAGGCAGGGCCTCAGCCCAGGTGACCAGCATGAGGAGTTACCTGCCATCTGCATTACTTCTAACACAGCTTCATCCTTGGTGAACACTGCTGCTCCTGAAATCCCAAAAGAAGTTCCTGTTAATGTCCCATCTTGGATGTCCAGGTTGGAAATGGACAGAAGAGAGTTCACCACAACACAGCCCGTCTGAAGGATGTTGGTGTCAGTATAGAAGAATTAATTAAGCTGCCAAAATGCTTGGAAACTCTTTGAAACTTACCTGTGGACCCATTAGAGGGTGGAATGCTGGGTTTCCCAGTGGAGCCTGCCACCCCGTTAGTCTCAGCAGATGAGAGGTTTGTCTGTGTGCCAGGCCTCTAAAACAAAGATCAGAGGTAAATGAAAACTCCATTATTTCAAGCTGAATCTATGCAAGGTGCTCTAGAGAACAGAACCTGGAAAAACTCACCTCCCCCGAGGTATCCTTGTGCTTCACCAAGCGCTTGTCCTGCAGGTTGAAGAACTTGATGGGGTTGGAGAGGGCAATAGTGAGATCTGGAAACAGAGAGCAGGGCTTGGCTTGGATAACAAACAACTCATGGACTCACTTCCCTGCCCAGTGCAGGACACTGTGAAGAAGGATTAGTTTGTGTTCCCTGCTTATAACCAAAGTCTCCCTGACAGCACAAGGGAGGGAGGAAGGGAACCTCCTTCACCTCAGTCCCAGCATGGCTCACAATTGATGTTCAGGACAGCTCTGTGAAGTGATTTTGGGAACTCTGCTCCCAAAAGCCAGAGCCAGATTAAGATTTTTCCCACCTGCACAGCTGCTTGCTCCAATTCCAGCCCAACCTTGTATAAACCTCATCTTTTTAATAAAAATGTGATAAATCACATTTCTCAGGATTTCCCCAGTGAATAAGGTTCATTTGCATTAATACAGGGGAGGAGAGAGCAAACATGAGAAGTATTCACAAGAGCTCCTGTGGCTGATGCTGTTGCACTCTGGTTTGGTCATGACAGTTGATCCCTCTGGTGAGGCTTCTGTCACATCCAGCTCTGACCCTTCTCAAAGGAATGTCCCCAAAGCTCAGCACCAGCAAGAACCTCCCTTCTCTTCCAGTAGGGAAGAGCCTCACTCCTAAAATCTCCCTAAAGCCCCTGTTCCCTGCAGCCCCTGAGAGGTGTCACCTATTCCCTCAAGGAAACCTCTCCCTGCCTCTGAACAAGGGTAGGGCTGAGCCATTCCACACTGGAGCTTGGTACATCTGCACTGCACCTCAGGTGGGAACCAGGCACAGCTGCAGTGGGAGCCTCCATGCTCTTCCCAAGGCAGCGAGGCTGTGACAGGATGCTGGCATGCACCCAAGTCCCACCCTGACAAGGAATTGAGGGTGCAGCAGGAAAGCACTTCCCAGGCTGGAAAAATACTTCTGAATCAGAGTTTGGAGGAGGCCAGAAGCACCCCCCACACATTCCAGCTCCCTACCTGCCCAAGCATCTGGCACGTAGTCCTTGATCTCCAGGAATACGAAGAGGGCGGGCATGGTGAGCGGCATGTTGCTCTCGCTGCGCAGGCACACGTGGTGGTAGCCTGGGGCACAGAGGGGAGGGAGTTGAGCTGGTGGCATCCTGTCCCTCCCTGTCTGCTCCAGCAGCCCAAGGCTCCTCTTTACAGGAGGAGCCTGTATATCATGGGATAAAGCCAAGGCTATAACAAGATGGATTTCAAGGTTCCACTGCCTGCAGGCACGGAGATTAAGGAGCAAAGTATGCAGCTGTTTGTATGGTCTTTATGGCTCCCACTGGACAGGTCTGAAGGGCACAAAAGCAGAAGGAATTTCCACTGATTTACCTGGGTGCATTGCGATGATGGGAATGATACGCTGGCCAATGAACTTCCCTCCTTCTTCCCAAGCCACAATTTTGAGAGATGCCAACTCAGGCATCATGATCTAAGGGAAAAGCGGAGTAAGGCACCAGTGTCCTCACCTCTGTCTCCTGACAGCAGCATCCTCCTCCTTCCAACCAAACAATTCCAGCTCTTCCAGGATGGCACTGCCATCCTAGAAATTGTAATCCTTGTAATTTAAGGGCACAGTTTATCATAGACATCATAGCTGAATGCCCAGAAACTCCACCAAACACAGCCTGCCCAGGATCACAGGTTACCTAAAGGCAAAAACAGGGCAACAAACCCTCCAAACCACTCACTTCCAGGAATGAACTGGGATGGATAATTTAGCAAACATGGTAACATTACTAATAAAGGCTTTTGACTCCCTCCTTCCCTGTATTCTTGTGCCATAAAATGAACTCAAAATTATTCTGCCAGGAGTGAAGACTCAGAGTGTTTCTGAAAGGAGGATATTTTAGCCAAGTAGCTGAAAATATCTGTAGTTTCATACTGTGCCTGACAGATTAATTGTATAATGTATACTTGACTTATCTTCCCTGTGCCCTGCAGCTGCATTGGTGATCACTGAATTCCTGGGGAGAGACAGGGCAGCTTTCCATGTTCTGGCACAACTGAAAACTGGTCCCATTACTGCTCCAGTTTGGCTGTTTCTCATTGACAGTTTAACCACAGAAATTCAGTTCCTTTTTGGTGCTGGAAGTTTTCCAAACTGATCAGTCTGAAGAGGGCATCATAGAGGGGAGACTTTGGATGCCTGTTATCTCCAGAACCATTCCCAGCTACCCCTTGTCTGTTCTGGGAAATATTGACACAGAGTTATTTTGGATATTGTTGTTTGGATATTACCTGAGTGTCCAAAGCCAGGCCTGAGGTCTCCAGAGGGGAGACCCTTCTGCTGGCATGGACCTCTGCCAAGGCAGTGCTCATAGCCATCAGGAGCTTTAAGGATTCTCTGCCTAAATTACTATCAAATGTTCTCACCTTTTCAAAAACAAAAGCCTCCTCTTTCCACACAGGGTTAATGGAGTTGGCCGTGGAGGTCAGTTTGGTTCTGTGTTTGCGTTTGGCATCCCTTGGCAGCCCAAGGAGCTCCACTTCCACGTAGGTCTTCACGCTGCGGTCCGAGAGGAACTGACCAGAGAGTACCTGTAAACAACACAAACGGAGTTAGCAGCTGCTGGGAAGAATAAAACAGAGGGACCCACCCATTCCTTCACCCTAAAGTCACTCTCCCACCCCAAAACAGCTTTTCTGCTCCAGCTCTTCTTTTACCTCCACCTCTGTTTCTTGCTTCAGCACTTCCTCTCTCCTTACCAGCACAGCCTTGGCTCCCTCTGCACGGCAGATGCTCATTTTCCATTTTCATGTGATTATGATTAATTTAAAATAGCGACAAGCCTGGGAGTTGCCACAGTAACGCATTCCCACAGGACTCCACGGGTTCATGTGGCACTGAGTCCCCCTGGGTGACACAGGACGGGGTCCCCAGGCTGTACTTGCCGTGACACAGACAGTAGTGGCCACCAGCCCGTCGATGCGGTCCACGGAGAAGGGGTCGAACTGCTTGTCGGGGCGCCGCATGAACTCGTGCTTGAGCAGGTACCCACACTGCCCGTTGAACTCAAACAGGGCCATGTTCTGCTGCATGGGGACATCTGAGAGCAGAGAAACACAGTGACACAGGGCTGGGGGGGACAGGCAGCCTGTGTGCGACGAGGGAGCTGAAAGCTGCCGGAAGCTTCCAGCCCCTGCCAGCCCATGGCTCACAAAGCCATCTTGAAAACTAATTAAGCCTCTCAGCACCCTACAGGGAAAAGTATTACAGCAGCTGTTGTAAGGAAGGGAAGTGGTTTGCTTGCGCTTGCACCTTAAGTCATGGGCAGAACTAAATTGAAACCTGCTTTAAGGAGCACCTGCTATTTTTGGGTGGGAATAAGTAACTGTCTAAGCTCCTCTGCTCCTTCCCCATTTCATTTTGGGCCTCCTCTGAGTCCATCTTCTGTCTGACACTACTGAGAACACTGCCTGGTGGTTGCTGCACCTGCCTGCAGTGTCATCCTCTTCAAAACCAACCTTTTGGTCGCTCCCTTTTGTCTCCTATGCTCTATACATAACACAGCCCTCTGAGGAGGAAAGAGGGGTAAGGTACAGCTTTCACTCAAGGCTTTCCTTTCTTTCTTATGCTGGTTGTGCAGCAAGGAAAGGGCTTTCCTCCCTGGTCAGGTCAAAATTCTGGAAATAATGGCACAGACAGGTCAGTGCTGTGGTCAGATGGAGCTCTGCCTCTGCCTTGTGGAGGTAGCAACTTGGGGGATGGGAGCTGCAGGTGCCCTCATGGATATGATTCAGTGTGACATCGTGGAGCAGGACAGCCAGGGACAGTGCCTGGACACAGGGTGACAGCAGTCCATATGTGTGCATGTGTGTATGCCAGGTCTGTGCTGGGCATGGAAAAGTGCTCTTGGTCTGTGGGAGATCAAATCAGAGGAGAACAGCACTTTGGGAAAAGGCACATGGGAATAATGACCAGGGAAATGGCGGAAAAGGAAGAGACAGAGACCAGGAGCACCTGGGGACCAGCAGTGCCTGACCTCACCTGCTCGGAGGCTGGAGCACACCCTGACACTCACCCATGGTCTGGAAGTTGAGTGCCACCATCTGACAGCCAACATTCCAGAACATCTGGGGCTGGTAATTGGAGGAGTCCATCCGGGTGCCTTTGGGGTAAATGCGGCTCATCTGCCACTTGTTGTATCTACAGGCTCTATAGGAAACACGTCATGACTGTTCCTGTTGTGCCCTGGGGCCAGCCCACATATTCCCATTATAAAAACTGTTGGAGCTCTGCTACCAAATGCTCCGAGCCTTCCAGACAAGACCCCAGGGAGGCTCAGGCTCCCTGTCCATACACTTTTCACTTAAGGACAAGCATCTGGCAGCCTTGACTGGCTACATGCATCCTGTCAAGAATCTCCCTCACGCTCCAAGCACCCAAAGGCACTGGAAAAGGGCTGCCAAAAGGATACTCCACAAACTGCATGGGGAACTTGCTCAGTAGATCGCAAGCCTTGGTCTCGGTGAAGGAAGAGATGACGTAACTCCGGTTCTTCTCTAGAAACAGGAGATTGCATTAGGAGCAAGGCACGCCCAGTCCCCGCTCTGCACAGGGACTGACAGAGGCAGGAAGCACTTGGCCTGGGTTCCAAAGGGACTGAGCCTGACTTACTGGCAGAGACCTCGAAGGAGTTGAATTTGATGGGCTGTATGTAGTTAACCAGGCTGGACATCTCCTCGTACGCTGTCACTTCCAGGCCAGCCGTGCCCTGAGCAGAGAACAGTCCAAAAGGAAAGAGATGAAGAGACCGTCCCTGGAGATGCAAACAAACTGCACCAGGGCCTCCCAGTCAAAGAGCTCTGGTGGCTGCCCTGACCAGAGTGCTCCAGTTTCTCTGGTTTCCCAGTCCTACAGCTCCATGGTGGGCAGGGGCAAAGGATCTTCAGGTGGCTGGGCAAAAATGGAATCAAGGCACATGGAGAGGTTCCAGGGAGGAAGTACAAAGCCCAGGATCTCTTTGACCCTTCAGAACAGAGTCCGGGATAAACAGGGATATTGGTTTTCCTCCTCTCCAAAGGATACCAGGGAGATGGAAATGGGAAACAGACCTTTTATTCAAGGGAATGCTGATCTCCCTCCCTCCCCCTTCAGCAGCAGCACTTTCAGTAACAACTTCTCAGACCAAGGCTAAGCCTCTCCAACACCCCCAAGGCAAACAGTTATCTCCAGATCATGCACAGTCAGCAGTAACTCTTCTGCCACATTCCTCATGCTTGCAACAAAAGGATGGAAAGTCCCCCGCTGGTTCATTCCCCTTTGCACTTTGGGTTCATCTCTATTCAATAGGGTGAGGCCCCAGAGAAAAATGGAAGCCAGCAAAAACCCGAACAGAAAAGGAAAAGAACCAACAGTGACAGTACCTCATCTGACTGCATCTTTTTAATTTCCTCTTCATCCAGATTTCTGAGCTGTTCATCCTCTTCCTCTGGCTCCTCTTCAGCAACATCACCTGCCCAGACTAAGCACACAGGCCCTCATCAGTGGTATGGATCAGGAGGCACAGACAGGACCCTGCAGGCTGCTGCCAGTGCAGGGCTCTGCCAAACCTCACCACCAAGTAATGCTGGAACACTGAGGGGAAGAAGCCTACAATTTATTTGGCCAAATCCAAACATGAACTGGTACACTGAGGATGAGCACACCCAAGAGACCAAATCATTCCTGCTGCAGGCTCCCCTCACACTCAGGAGCAACAATCACTGGGCTGTTTCCCCACTAAGGTCACATACATTTGCAGGAATAAATGCCCATTTTCAGGTGTTCTTCAGTGGTGCTCACCTTGTCCTGACAGGACATCATGTGCTCTTACCATGACAGGGACTGTTCTACCACAGGGGCCCTGAGCCCGAGAGGTGACAGGAAGGGAAGAGAGAGGGACTGAAAGTTTTATGAACCTCCAAGACCCTCATGGTGAAGAACTAGGCTGTGGTGAATTTGTGGTTACAAGCAGTAACAAATTATTCCCCTTCCCTCAATCCAAAAGCCAGAGGGTATCAATGATCACTAAGGGATGTTGAGCTGGTAAATGATCATCTCTTTTGGTTGGAATAAGTGTTCAAAGTATTATGAAGATTTAATTTCTCTTCCAATTTTCTGCTGCTGCTTGGAATAACTGATTTAATGACTAGTGCTGGCTTGTCCCAAGCTCACCAAGTATTGAGTGATTTAGTAGGCTTTGCCTATCAGTTTTATTAGTCTCCCTTCCCTTCAGACATACCAGTATCTTCAGCATCCATAGATGCTGGCTGCTCAGTGGTTTCTGGTTCCATGTTCCTCCCTTTCTTCAAAGAGTTCTGCCTCTTCCCAGACATTGATTGGTTCTTTTTGTTTTTAATCAATATTTTCCTTAAGAGATCCTTTGGACTTGGCAGAGGAACTCCTGGCTTCAGCTGCAACAGATAAACTTCATCACAGAATTATCAAACACTCACCTCTCCTGTCTCCCTGGCCAATTGCCAATGCACAGACACATCTCTCACCCACTGTACTCCTGATTTCCTCCATCTGCCAGCATATCCCACTAGATTAATGCAGATTTTTCCTAAGCTTTCACCTGTGGTTTCAGACCAACATTTTGTACCTCTCAGGCTCTGCCATGCTGCCTAGCCAACCATCCTGCTAAAAAAACACCTAGATGCCCTGAAGGCATCTGCATACCTCTGGCTTCCCATTCCACCTACTTCTCTCATTATATCCCAGATCCTCAGTCCCTCATCAGTACTCAGGCCAGATTTAAACACTGCCTGCAGCAGATTTAAAAAAGATCCCAGAGGAGGTGGCTCAAGACAAGGACATGTGACAGACTGCAGAGACAGCAAAGGCCTGTAAATAGCTTAGTTGATCTCTTGAACTGTTCCCCCCCTCATCCCTCTGTTCCTATTGCCTGGACATGGGGCTGGACAGTGGGCAGCTGCTGCTGGCTCACTGCTTCTTTCCAGCTCTTCTTTGGGTCTCAGTGTTTTCAAACAGATGCTTGGGCCAGGTGCCTCTGCTGTCCCCCCTCTGTGCACCCCAAGGATCTGCCTTGTGCCCTGCAGAACACAGATCCTGCTCAGATGTTTAAAACCATGTGTCCTGGCAGGGCAGTTGTGTCACCAAAGGTGTCACTGGGGCCACAGAAATACCTGTTGTACAGGTAAGATGAAGACTGAGGTCAAGCAGAAGGGGACCTTTCCTCAGCTATTCCAAGCACATGACACTGACCTGCCCAGCTATGCCTGGAAGGGAATATTTCCAGGCTAGAAGCAGGATTAGGCTCCTGTTTCCAAGTGCTGGCAGACACAGAGCTGGACCAGTGTCATGTACAGAACACACCTGGTACCCTTGGTACATCCTTGGCCTCCCAGGGCTCAGTGCCCAGAGCCCCTCAGGTGACAGAGTGCTAAACAAGAGTTTTCCACCTATCTCTATGAACCAGGATCCACGCCCATGGTATTGTATCTGTTGTTGTGGCACCTCCCAGCACCAGGAGTGACCAAGTTTTCCAGAAAGGCCTCCCCAGTGGCTTCCTGCCCCAGCTCCCTCATACCGGGTATTTCTCCAGTGGCTCTGTCAGCAGCATGTCTCCAAAAATTGTTCGGCAGTACTCGGCCATCTTTGCCTGCTGCTTGGGCCTAAGAGAGATCAGGCAGAGTGAAGAGGAAAGCAAATGCCCAGAATCAGAGTTTAGCATGAACAAAAGACGTCCATGTCCTCTACCCAGGAAACCATCTCAGCTATGTAGATGTTAAGGTCCCATTCCCAAGCCAACTCCTATGTTCATACTCTGCAACCCTAAGGTAAAAGGCTGCACAACTGTGATCACCCCACTCTGCAGGTTAAGGCTCATCTTTCAGCTCTGACCCATCTTCATTTGCTTCAGAAACCTCAATTAATGCTCCACTTCAGCTCAGCACTCACTTAAAACCCAGCAGCCCTTGCCTGTGTATTTTCTGCTCTGGACACAGCAGCCAGTTCTCCCAGTCACCAAATACTCACGAGTCCACGTGGTTCTCGAAGGACAGGATCACAGGGTATGGAGATGTTTTAAAAGCACTTTCTGCAATGGCCTCGATGGCATCCTGAAGGAGAGGCCATGGTCAGAGGGAAGCTCAGCAGTCATTAATAACAGAGACACAGCTGACCTCCCGCTGAACAGGCTCCATAACTGTCTCTCAGGAGCTCCTCTCAAAGTGACTAAACTCCTCTCAGTAAGAAGGTGAGAAGTGTCATCTTTTTCACACCTGCCCAGATTTCCAGCTCCAGAGGATCCACGCTGAGCTAAACTCAACAGCTTGCACCAAAATGAAGCTGAAGATGCAACAAGGTGAGATTTTGGTTTTGCTGCACAGGTCAGCGTACACATCACTGCACATGAGAGTGTGTGGCCAGAGGCACAAACCTTGCCCCAAGCACCTTGAACTGGCACAGAAAGGTGTATGCAGCACCAGATTAAACTACTGCAAATTCTAGCCATACTTACCTCTGAACCTGCCCAATTTTCTATCATTTCTGCTGCTTATAAAATCCTTTTGCCTGGCAGCAAAGAGAGCTGGAGTGTTCAGTTACCAGCTGTGCTGACATTTCAAATGCAAATACCATGGAAACCTTTTCAGCATTAATGATGTAAGAAAAAATAATATTTTCCCCAAGCCCCTGTTAAACTGTCACAAACTTTCCACTATTTTCCTTTCTGGTCCTGCTAATTGGTAAAGAAGTGCCATTTGCTCCTTTGCAATTAGAGTCCCCTGATCATCCCAAATCCTGGATCAGCCATGACCTCAGCAAGGAGGGAGGCTGCCACAGCTGCTCCTCCATGGACCACTGGGATTCTGTCACAGAAGCCTCAAGGCTCTCAGGAGAAGCCTCAGACAATGCTACTAAAAGGCCGCAGGAGTTGTAGTGGAAGGAAGGACTATGTGTTATGTAAAACCAAAACCCAGCACATGCTGTATTAGCAGGCTATAATTTCCTTGAGGAATGGTCCCAGGCTTCAGCAGAACTCTGCAATTACAGCAGTTACAAATGCCATTATTTCTGTTCCATCTGCAGTGAACTGCTGTGCAAAAAGCAGCAGTGACACCACAGAGCTTTGGAAATAACTGAGTCTGAGGACAATACCTCTGACCTTAAGGACTGCTTTGGTTTGTTTTTTACCCCTTCACACATAAATATTTTAGTAATAGTGAAGTATGGGAATTGGGGGGAAGATACAGAAGAAAAATAAAGAACTGGAAAAAACCATCTAAAGCACCTCTACCTGTTGGCAGCAGCTGTGTAAAGGAGTGCAGAAAAAAAGTCAGTGTGATGCCTCTATTTGTAACTTGCAAGCTGTGGATAAATGCCCTGTACTGCCTGGCTTTGTGCTGCGCTTCTGAAGGCTGGGAGCTGAATCCTCAGGGAAGCCAGCTGCACCACAAAACACATTCCAACACTCAGGTATTTAGGAAGGAACTGAACCCTGTTCTTCCAAAAGCCTCCACTTGAGGCAGTCAGCCATAGAAACCTGCTGCAGACCAGAAGATTAACTCATTTTAACTGTGTTTTCTAAAAGCCATCCTGTTCACTCCTCTGGTGTGCCTCTATCTATAAATCCACCAGCCTCGTGCCATGTTCTGTGCATCCATCCTGTGACACAGCCCTGTGTACACACACACCTCTGCTCAGTCATCTCTCCTTGGCTTCCACCTGACTTCCCACATTTCCCTCATCCATCCATCCACCCATCCATCTTCATCCAGCTATCAACTTCTCTTTGACTCCTCCCATTCCAAAACTGTACAAACTCCAACCTAGTGCTTATCTGTTCACTTTTCCTTCTACCCACACATTCATTCACTTGTCACCTCGCCATCAATCTTTTCCTCTCAAACATCCTCAGCCATCTGGCTCCCTCAGCAATCAGTCTAAAAGCAGGCAGGGGAAAGCATCCCTGGAGAAAGCTCTTCAGTACCTTGAAGAGGATCTCAGTTGTCATGGTGAAGCCGTGGGTGATGATGGGCTCCTCATCCGGGGGCCGGCCCTTCCAGCAGTCCAGCTCCACGCAGCGGCAGCCGGCCAGCAGCGTCTGGCGATACATTTCGGGAGAGGACGTCCCAGAAAACTGCCCGGCTGCAGGAGAGAGGCTCAGCGTTAGCTACTCACACACATCAGCTCCTGCACACACAGGAACAACAGGAGTCTCTGCCAGCCTTCAGCAGGTGGATGCAGCAGACTGATGAGATGTTTTCAGTCGCAGGGCGACACCGCCTCATGTCACACGGCATTTAGAGTCAGGCCAGCCCTCAAAACCCCCAGGGCACACACATCTGCCCGGCTGTGTCCCTCCCCTGCCATACCTGTCAGATAGGTGTTGTGTGAGGAGTTGATGTAGTAGTGTGAGAGTGGCTGGGTCATGTCCTGGTATAGCATCAGCTTGTCCAGCACTATCAGGTTGTTCTCGGGGCCACAGAGGAACCAGACCATCCCCTCTGGAGACAGCTGCCCTGCATAGCAAACAGAGCTGTTCTTGGTCACCAAATAGAACAGTTCTGGCCCCTCTTTGGAAGTGGAAAAATTTGTGGGAACAACAGGGAGTTGTGGGAACAAGGCTGACTGCTCCCCTGGGAAGCAGAATGGCACAAGGCACAAGATCTTCTGCTCTGTCATCCCACTTCTATAGCAAGAGCTTTGGGCTGAACAAGACTCACCTCTCTGGATGTTAAACCCACTGGGCTCATACTTCTCTATCAGGCTCTGCACCTGATCAGGTTTGGCTGGCGGGAAGAGGATGTCATTGAGGCGGGTGTCACGCTGCTTCTTGTTGATGAACTTTGCCAGGTGATCTTTGGTCATGTAGGGCTTTGCTTTTAGATGGCTGCAGTGAGAGAATCACACAGGGGCAGAGGTAAGGCTTGGGAATTACCCCAGAAATCTTTTCACATAGGAGAGGTTGATCCTCCCTCTGGCCCCATATATTTCAGGGTCCTGTAGCACAGTGAGGTCTCATCCTTTTTATTCAGGCTGTGAGTGAAGGCATTAAGTGACCTGAGATCCTGCCCTTCTAAGGCTTAAGGCCAGACAAACTCCACCACACTAAATTCCCTCCTTCCTGTCTATCTTTTGCCACAAGAGACTAAGTTCTGGGCTGTGGCTTGAGGGAAACTTACTGTGAAGTAAATATCTCATCAATCTCGGGCCGTGGACACAGATTCATGAGGAATGTCTTGTACACCGGCTCGGGGAAGTCCTCGGGGTTGATGGCATCATTCTGAGAATGCAATGAAGATGTGTCAGGACCACAAACCCATGACAGCTCTAACCTGTCATGAACACCCACACCTCAGCACTTAGCTGTGAAAACCCCAGTAAGTGACTGGAACATCTGGCCGGGTGTTGTTGCTCCTTGTGCCAACAGTTCAAGTGCTGGAGTCACAAGTGTTACTGAAAGACAGTAAGAGCTGATGCCAGCAGGCCAGAATTAAGGCCTGGCAGTGGTAGGGTAAGGTGAGCAACTACAAGCATCTTGGCTGATGGTTTTTCAAAGACAAGGGCATCCCAGTCAGGAAAAAGATACTTCTCAAGCTCATGAGACTTCTGGATACCCAGAGAAACCCTTACCTTGCCATTTGGCAGATGACAAGCACTTAATGCTTCTTCCACCCTCTTCTTGTCTGCAGGGAACATCTGAAAAATACTGACCAAACAGGGAAACATCATCACAGGGCAGGACAGAGGTCGGGGGCCTGGAGCTGCAGGTAGTGCAGGACACTCCAAATGCACAGCAAGGGAGACTGGCAAGACAACTGTAAGCATGAACCAGCAGACAGACAGTGTTTCTCCAGGACAGTAACTGAGGGACTGAGTTTGATAAACCTATACAGGATTTTTGACTGCTGATTTAAAGCAGAAGTTCTGTATTCCTGCTATGGACTCTGTAAGAGCCCTGTCACTCAAAATCCCTTTTCTGCCCCTCTTGGAGGTGCTTGCTATGGTATACTGTGGAGAAGTAACAATAACGAAACTTTCCCTCCTTTTAGAACATCCCTGTCAACAGCACCATGGTCTCCTCCATGGATAAATCCAGCCTCAGTTCTGTTAAGCTCCTGGAGTCACAGGTGCTCACAGCAAACAGGGGAACAAGGAGTGCCCTGTGCTGCCAGGTGGGAGTGCCTGGTGGGGGCTGCAGCAGCTCATGCAAACCCTGCCCTTTGCAAGGCAAAACTGCAGCAGCCTTGGTATAATTCCAGAGGGATTTACATATTTAAAGGAAAGGCAAATGCTTGTGGAATTTTCAGAATTTTCAGGAGTTTTGAAAGCCTTACATTTACCTGCACCTGGAGATACTAGTTTTATAAACCTTGCTCTTAATCTGGACTATTTAATGGTCTGCATTTTTACCATTCTGCAAGAAATGGACACTGACAAGAGGTACATCCTTATATCAGATATTTTTTTCTAGCTTGTTCCAGAAGAATAAGCTGGTTTCTCCCTGCAGCAACACTACCTTGCTTGCATTTTAAAGATTAATTCAAAGCACTCTTCCCTAGTGTGTTATTCATTACAGACCTACACATTTTTAACAGCCCTTTGATGAACATTCTGGTTTCTGACAATGAAATTCTGCTGGTTGGTGGTTTAGAAAACAAATAACAAAAAATGTTTAGTGTTGAATAAAGCTCAGCCCTCCAGGAGCCCATTTAGTCAGCACAGCCCTAATCCAGCACAGCTCTGCCTTACAACACACCCTGGGGCCTGAGTTTATTTGGGGCAATTAGTGCTCACCTCTTGTGATGCTGTAACACAGCACAGACCTAGAGCAGAGTGGTTCAAAACTTCCCAAACGCACTGTCTGCAGCTCTTTACTTTGTTCTTAAAACAAAAGGTAATTTATGGACCCAAAAGGGAATTCAACATGGCAGTGCTGCCTTTTGTCATTCTACGAGCTAAATCAACACAGAGGTACCACGAGACCAGCCCTGGAGCAGTTTTTCTTGGGAAGATACTGATGGCACAAAATCAATTCCAGATTCATGCCACATAGTGCAGGGGAGAAGGGACAGGCTGGGCTTTGCTTCCCATTCTAATGGGAGCCCTACCTGATGCACAAGGCCAGGCTGGGGACAGGGAAGGACAAATCTCCATCCGTTCTGCTCCTAAACCAGCACTAACACTGGCCCAGAGGCTGCTTCACTCTCATGCACATCCAGAGCAAAGGCTGAGGGATAGAGGAAGTGGGGAAGGACTGGAGTGGTCACACAGAGAGAAAGGAGACAGGAAAAGCAAGGGAGTCCTGCTGCAGGTGAGATAGGGAGTCCAGCAAAGAGCTCTCCATATGGAGAACTCCTTTCAGGAAAGGGAAACAATCCTACACCTCATCCACCTTTCAGCTCAGGTTTGTGAAATAATCTGTGATCAGAATTCTACCAAAGTTACTTTGGTTTGTTGGTTTTTTCATGGTAACAACAGGAAATTATAACTGTGGCTATTTAAGCCATATCTTGCTGTAGATGAAGGCCACAGAGTCTCCTTTCCAGACTCAAATTATGTGTCACCCAGGTGCAGCAGGAGCACTTCCATGGCCTGGACACAGAGGGAAACTTCTCCACCTCTTAGGTGCAGGAAGAGCAGACAGCTGAAGCCACTGAGCAACCATCCTCTCTCTCACCAGTTGCTCTGCCTGTAGTCTGACTGAACGCACAATGAAACAAATATCCACACTCACTTCCGGACAGGAATCTTTCCCTCTTCATTCAGTTGCAACTTCAGCTTCACCAGACTGTGAAAAAGAACTCAAACAAGATTACAAAAATGCATTTGTACCATCTTAAGAGATCCTACTAAGTGAGAAGAAAGAAAAAGCATGCAATTGGGAAAACAATCTAACAGTGGACTGAAAATCGGGGTCCTACAGACAATCAGCTTAACCTTGGCATGACCCAGGCCTTGGTCTGGAGCCTGCCAAGGGACCTGCATGCTTTGAAGTCTTTTTTTTCCAAGTACTGTCAGAAAGAGCAGGACATGGACATTTCAGAGAAAAAGGTTTCTCAGAAAGGACTTACATTTTCTCTAGGAAGGTGTAGCGGGGAGCGTTGTACGTGATGGGATTCCTGGCAATGGCCATTATATCCTCAGCCCAGTCCTGGAACAAACAGGGCAGAGGCAGTTGGGCACTACTGAACTGCTCCAAGAAGTACACAGCAAACATGCAAAGGGCACAGAATCTTGGAATTGTTTGGATTGGAAGGGACCTTAAAGCCCATCCAGTGCCACATCCTGCCATGGGCAGGAACACCTTCTGTTATCCCAGGTTGCTCCAAGCCCTGTCCAACCTTGAACACTTCCAGGAATGGGACAGCCACAGCTTCTCTGAGCAATGTGTGCCAGGGCCCCCCACCCTCACAGGGAGGAAATTCTTCTCACATCAAATAAAAATCTGCCCTCTTCCAGTTTAAAACTGTTACCCCTTATTCTGTCTGAGACTTCTGGGCTTGACTCTATCAATCACCTTCCTCCTGCCTATAAACACTAGGGGCTGAAACTTTTCTACTTCTCAGCTGCCTATTCATCCATACAAAACACATGAAAGACAACAATGACGAGTCTTCTACTGGTCCTTCTCCATGCAGGGCAGAAGCTTCTAGAACTATGGAGATACCACACCTGACTGGAACATAAACCTGCTTGTTTGTAACCTTGTCAGTAATGCTGAAAGAGTTCAGCATTGTCTTATCTTATCTTACATTATCATGTCTCCTCCTCTGCTTTCCTGCTCCCCACTGAATGCCCCAATCCTTAGTGGTTCCCAGTACTTCCAAGACCTCAGGCCCTGATACCTTGCAAATACTCTCCTTGTAGGACACAAAGTTATGGAAAGTGAGGTCAACCATGTCAGAGCCAGATACAATTGTCAGGTTCTTCAGCAGGAAGGTGCTGTAAGGGTGATCCAAGTTAAAAACCTCTCGGAGCTTCAGGGACTGCAAAAGAAACAAAACAGATGGGAGTAACTGGAGAGTGAGGGAAAACCGTACCCAAAAAAACCAGACCCCTATACACACATTGGTCCAAATGCACAGAAAGCATCTCAAGGGTTGCAAAATTGCTTAGTGCAATCTTCCTTTCCTTGGCTTTCCTTATTTTTTATCTTTATTCTGGAGTCTGCATTACTGGATCCTCCTTGGGACAAAGCACCATGACTAACACCCCTGCACAAGGCTGAAAAAGTTAAAGCTGGACACTGCTCTTAAAGAAATTTCTTCTGAAACTTCAGGCTGCAAACTTCAGGGTTTGGCCTGCTTGTGCCAGAGGTGTGTAACCAGTTGATTTTATCAAAACACACACACTAGAAAGTGTATTAGTGTGACACCCTTATATGTAATCTCCCTCCACCAAGATATTTTTTGGGACCCCCTGTCACTTCAGAGTTGGCTTCTTCCCCTCCAAGCCCCATTTTCTGCTGCTGTTGGTTGGTAGTAGTGGTTTTTTTTCCATAGCAATTCCAGTACCCTACAGCAATGGCTCACCAGAGACTTGTTTTGTTAAGTGTAAGGCTCATCCGATTAGTGGTACTTGGATTGCAGCACCATATGACAGTATTTATAGAATCCTTTAAATTATTCAGTATTTTCTGCATTCCTATGCATGGTGTCACTAAGCCAAGGTATCCAAGGTATCCTAGAGTTTTACTGATGGTGCTATTTATAATGGGAAGATAAAAATTTCCATTCCTAGAATAAAGCACAGCAATCCATTATCTGAAGTGCAGGACAAATCCCTGTCCAAGCAAACAGGGAGCTGTCAGAGCACCTGCTCTCCTTTAGAAACAGGGCAAATCCACAATCTGGGCTTGTTAGAGCAGGTCAGACTTGGAACTTAAACTGGGGCTGGAATCTGAGAGCACCTTTAGGTTGCAGCACCATGTCACACACACAGCTGAATACACATTTTATAAGGAACTGCAGAATTTTTTTTACTTAAATTTTCCTAATTTCTGAAGCATTTGCAATTTTGTCACATCTGTAGCAAACAGGCATCTTTAAGAAAAACAGGACAGGCTGGATTGTAACTCTGGATCATCTGACTGCTGTCTCTTATTTTGGAAAAGCACCTCTCCAAGGAGGTAACTCTGAAACCTCTTTAATCCTAGAGCATTTGGAGGGAGGGAAGGGAAGGAATATGATTTGCCTATTTTCTACAAGGGATTTTCTAAAATGGCTCCTTCTTGCCTCGTGAGCCATTTTCCTTCACAAAACTGAGCACCACCAAACACCCACATCTCTTTCCCATGCTCGTGGCAACTCCTTGTTGGAGCTCAACTTTCCAGTGCCAGCGGCAAAGTGTTGGGATTTTAACTCCAAACTTGACTTCATCTTGCAAATGCACCAGCATTTGTTCAGCTCCAGGGCTGTACAGGAGAGGAGGCCCAAACAATGGTGAACTTGTGGTTATGCTGAACTCATTTCCTGTATTTGTTATCCAGGGCTCCTCCCATCCCTTCCTTCTCTGCATGCTGCTCTCTAGCAGACATTGTCACCTGGCTCTCTCCAGACCTCTCTGTCCAGGCCAAGTCCCCAGCAAGCCGAGCAGTTTTGCCCTTATCCAGGCAGTGATGCATCCAACACCCAATGAAGATGTGGAGAGAGGACCAGAGACTGTGTGCAGGAGCTCTGAACCTGATGCCACATCGTGGCTCTTTCACAACCTGCGCTCCTTTAGCGCCTTGTGCCACAGCTTCGCTCTGGGATTACTCAGTGTCACCTTGCAGGTAGCCATAAAGAAAAAAGAGGAATTGCTGCATGAAAAGCAGGACACGCATATTAGCCATGCAAATCAGAAGGGAAACACTCTTAGCAAATCCCTTTAAAAAAACCCAGACAAGCAGAAAACAACCTACTAGCAGAGTGGCTGGAATATGGAATCAGCTGGAGTTTCATGTCCCACCCTCCTGATTTCCCTAAAATCCTCAGCTGTACAGAGATCCATAGTCCAGAGAGAAGCAAATTCTCATGCAAATATAAACAAAGAGTCAAGGGGGCAGAGCCGACTGACTGCAGGACCTGTTGTGTTACTTTGCCCTGACAGAGCTGTGTCTTGTGGCACTAGGACATCAAATCATCTCTTTTGGAGAAGAGAGCTCTTGTTTGGTTGCCAGAAGGGAAAAAGGAATCCCTAAGATATTTGGGGTATGCCTTTGACTCTGGAGGTAACACTCCTGTCCCCATTAGCTTGCTGCTCTACGCTGGACATATTGGCTGTGAATGGGGAGGGCCAACCTGTCCCTGTGCCAAGCATCTCAGGGACACAGGCAGACAAAAATCCACTGAGTGGAGCACTCTCAGCCCTTGGTGTTTTACCTAAAGGAACTGGCAAATGCAGCAGCTCAGATTCCCAGGCACAGAATAGCCTACAGTGTTCTGCAATCCAGCAGGGAAACCCTGTCAGGGACAGAGGAGAATGTGTGGTCCCAGAACTCACTGCACAACGATGGCAAAAGCAGGAGGGCTCATCACTCACACATGCCCATTTCCTTGCTCAGCTCCTGCTCCACCATTTATACATCCTTTGCCAGACACAGGCTCGTATCTGCCTCTCTCTTGCACGCTCACAGATTGGTATCTCCATATGATTGCTCTCCAGCTGAAGGGCCGGAATTAGACTTAGTTCAGCTCTGTCCTGGGCTCACAAGTTGCTGAATTCCAATGCCAGAGCTGCTCATCCCCTCTGCTGCAGCAGAACCACTGACCACCCACAGTATTTACAGCCTGTGGCTCACAGCCACAGCTCAGCTCCGAGGGCACTGTGATCGTCCTGCATGGTTCCTGAGTATTCCCACTGGCTTCAACTTTATAATTTCAAAACGTGATGAGTGAAATGCTTTGCTATCATTTTCTTCCTGTACATGTGCAGCTCAGGCTGCATCTCCAGGTTCAACACCAACAGAATGTGGACAGAGAATCAAGCTGGTTTATAATCATGATAATCAGAAAGTACAACTTCTGTTTTTTTTAAAAAATATGCCTGTCTTAAAGCCAGTGCCTTCTGAAACATCTAAACAAACCCCAAGACACAGCCAATAGCCCAGAAGTCTGGCCTAAAACATCATGTATTTTGGCCTTTATTATTATTAGATTCTTTGTCAGCATTCCAGGGTCTTGGTGCCTTAAAAAAGAAATCACAAGAAGCCCCACAAATGGAGCAGCCCTTTTTATTCCTCATTACTGAAAACACAGACCTGATTGTAAATAACAGCCTGATCTGTATCAGCACACTGCTGAACTACAGTCAATAGCTTTTGAATCTTGTCTCCTTGCTGTTCAAAGGCGCTGCTCATTCTTATCTTTATTATTCTCTTGAACGCACGCCAAAGTTCGCTCTGCCCCATGTTAAAAACAAAAAAAAAAAAAAAAAAAAAAAGAAGAAAAAAAAAATCCGCAAAGAAAAGTCACGGCAGAAACGCGAAGCTGCTCTCAAAGAACCTCGCAGGGCGGGTGAGCAGGGAGCCCTGCGTGGGAGGGGCTGGGGAAGATTCTGCTCTGTGGTGAGGCGAGGACTGGGGAAGGCAGGCGAGGGCCATTTCCATTTGGAGGCTGCTCCTAGGGCCGGCAGCCTTAGCGAGTCCCCTTCCACAGCAGGCACTACCTGCTCCCTAACCATCCCTAAGCATGAACGGGGTTCCAGCTGTGACCCGTGCTGGCAGTGCACACGGCAGCAGGTCTCTTCTCAAGTGGCTTTTCACGTGGCTGCTTTGGTGTTATTATTCTTGCTGTGTGCAGAGGTAACAAAGAAAAGCCCCAAACCTCTTGCTCGGCAGTGATGGGAAAGTGCTACTGAAAGCAGGAAACTCCCAACATCCACAGTGATCCACCCCCTCCCAGAGAGACTTGTCAGTGCCATAGGACTGGAAAACTCAGGGCAGATTACATCCTTGAGCCACAGCCCAAACCTGCACAGCCCCCTGCTGTGGAATGCAGCGGCACAGATGCTCGCCATACAGCACTCTCCTTCCTCTGGACTTCCTTCAGTCACAATCCAGCAGGAAAACCAGGCCACAAGCTTTGTCTCAGAGCAGCTGCAGATTGACTGGGACATCACTTGCAGGGAACAGGAAAGGATGCTCCTTTCATTGCTGGTGCCATCCACAGTTCTTCCTACAACTGTGATCCTGCTCTCCTTGTCCTAAATAAGGCCGATGGCTCATTTCTTCTCCACCTTCAGGCAGTGAAACAAGTAAACTCTTTGTACCAATTCCAACAGTTAGTTCTATTCCACAACCATTCCAAGCCACTATTTTGTAACAGGGCAGAACAGAACGCAGGTTCATTCTTCCACCTCTAAACAAATTTTTATTTGCTTCACCACACCAGTTTTTTATATTAATGCCTTTTGTAACAACATCCCAGACATAGCCGCCCCATGTGGAGGGTGTGGTGCTTCATGAGAAGAATTTTTCCCTGCTTTCTGCATTCCTTTGTGAACTTCTGCTCTCAGGAGAGCCAAATGAACACGACCCTGAGGGCTTTAAGCCAGAGGCATCAAGGATAGCTGAGCTATGTGTAAGTAACAATCTTCCAGACCCAGATGGCACATCTTGGTTCAACACCCCTTCAGTGCCCACACAAGACCTCCCAGGATCCACATGGAAAAGATGGATAAGGAGCCAGTCTAGTGCATTTTACTACACGTTATCACAGAATTCCAGTAAACTCCCTGAAAGAAAAAGGGGACTTATTTCAAATGAGTCTGTAAAATGCAGAATTCAAAAAGCACTTGGGATTTTCACAGCAAAGGTTGTCATCAAGTGCATCACTTCTGCCCACTGAGAATACCCAAATCAGTCAGTGCTTGACCTGTGCTTCGTTGTTCTTCAAAAATGAGCTGCAGCCAATTCCCATGGCTCTAAAATCCCATCCCTGGCCTATTACAACAGCTAGAACAGAGCAGCTCCATCCAGGTGCATAGGGAAAAGTGCTGGAACAGGGCATATGCACTGGCATTTCTTTGACACATTCCTGCAGCTCCCAGCAATCTAGGATTCAGCAGCCTCCTAACCCAGAGGCATTATCTCACAATTAATAATGCCCTACGGGCATTTCCTTCTTGTACTGATGTTTTATACTCACATTTCCATGACTGGGCAGGAAGCATTACCAATGGCATGGTGATATGAGGTGGGACAGCAGCAGCAGCACCTCCTGCTTGTGCCACTCCTACCTCTGGAAAATTCCACCTTATATGGAGATCCTGCACTGGAAGAAACCCTGACTAACTGCTTCAAACCCAGAGGAACTGCTTCATGCTCCCCTTCTCCATTCAACTGCTGATATTACAGCACTCCACTTCCCATTCACCTTACTCCTGCCAGAATGCAGTCCCTCCTACTCACATGCTCTGCCCCCAGCAGCCACTTCATTCCTTTGTTAATCCTGCTGCTCTTCCATACCTTTTCGAGTTCTCACTAAATCTGAGAGACACTAGAATTGCACATAGATATGGATCCATTTGGGGTGCACACAATAGCATAACTTCCTCATGATTTCCTTGTAATCCCTAACATGCAATTTACTTTTAGGAGGCAAATACTGCTGAGCACTACATTGATATTTTACCATACACCCACGATGTTTTCTGAGTAGCAACAGTCAACTCAGGACCTGTTATTACAGAAGGATGAGGGATTTTTTTCTGTGTGCATTGCCTGATTTTTATCTGTATAAAATGTATCACTCATTAGATCATGCATTCAATCAGCAATTCAAGGTCTTCCTACAAACCAGCCTGATTTTATTACCCCAAATAACTCTGTACCATTGGCCAACTGTCTTCTAGTACTCTCCAATTAGTATTCTTAACTAATTCTTAAAATCTAGGCCATGTTTCTTCAGCCTTCTGTTACCACCAGGACATCCAGCCATGGCCTCAGTACTTCCCCCAGCAATTTATTACCTACATCAAAGATGAATTCATTTTGCCAACAGGTTCTCAAAGTTTAACACCCTAGAAAAGAGTATCTCATGCCTCTCCTTTAAGTCAGCCTCTTCCTTAGTGTGTCCCATCTGGAGGGTAGCACCAACTTAAACAGCCCCAAATATTTTATTCTCTCAAATGAAAATCCAACCTCTGACAGCATTTTGAAGCACAATTCCCACAAAACAAGTTGTTGACAAAGTTTTAGGCTCTGAAAACTGAAGTATGTTCCATTCTAGTGAACTTCTAAGGAGAAAGGCAGTTTCTCTGAAGGAAATGTTTTTATGATAAGTACTGTTCTTGAGCTCTGCTGTGCCTTTAGCACCCACCTTTTTATGGTATTTTAAGAAATATTGGTCTTGGGGAGCTCTGAATAGACATTTTCAGAGCAGATTGAGAAAACAGCCATATGACTTATGCAAAAGGCTGCTTGAGGCTCAGGAGATATTGCAAAACCTTTCCCTTTTGCCTTAGAGAGTCACCTATGTCACCACATGATGCATCAGCTTTACTTCTTTGGTCCCTTTTCCACCTTTGTGCTTTACTGCAGTTTTTTCCTTGCCTTTTCCATACATGGAAATAAAGAAGAAGTCCTAGAAACAAAGTCCTAACAAGGTCTGCAAGAAGCTTCAGTTATAACTGAAATCAAGAACAAAGCCTTGATCATGTCCAAATGTAAAAATACATGGGGGAGGTGGGGGAGGAAATGCAACTAGTTTTTCTGAAAACTCATTTTCTTCCCTTTAAAGGGAAAAAGCCCAGCACACACTGTTGGAATGGCATTGTAACTCCATGTTTGTGGGTACCCTGTGCATCCTTACACCACAGCACCTCCGGTGTCTCAGTGCAGGAGCATCAGTCTCCAGCAGGACTTACCAGTGCAGCAAAGCACTTGAACGGGGAATTAGTTTTCCTGGCTTTCTGACATATTCCTTCCAATAAGCCCATCTACCACAGTCTGGAAGTGCTGCTTTTGGGTGCACAGAGGGCCCCTAGGAGGTCAGGGACAAGAGTCAAGATGACTTTTCTGTATTTATATAGCTGAGATGTAAGGAGATGAGATCCTCTCTAGCTTCTTCGTACAGAAATCCAGGACAAACTCCCTGAGCCCACCAGAACCTCAGGCAGCCCTGCCTTTCCACTGAAACACAGGACAGAAAGAAGCTGTGGCCTCACCTTGGGCATTTTGGCAAATCGCCCTGTTCGGGTGTCTCGGATGCTGGTGATATCCAGAATTTCTCTTTCCTACAAACAGAATAAGGACAAGGAGAATGAGGAAAGACAAAGGAGGAAGGGAAGCACTCCATGACAGAGCCCCCAGAAGCTGTAAATCAGGTTTGGCTTAGTGTCTTTCCCTGTGGAAGAGCTCTCCCAGCAGGAACAAGGCAGGGAGGGAAGCCATTCCCACAGAGGACACTGCACAGCCTTCCCCAGGCACCACCTCTGTGTCCTCACTACTGGCTTGCTGTCTTGTTTGTTCTTTTAATATCCAACCTGAATTTCCTTCCTCTGTTACTAATTTTTCTTCTCACCATGGATCTGGAGAACAAATTATACTTGTTGCAGCAGATAATATTATTTTCCAAGATCACATTACAGGACAATGTGGATGCCATGTCATCTGGCTGTATCCCTATTTTATTGTTAAGCAGGAAGTAATTTTACTCCTAATCCCACTCCTTTCTGAGTCCCTAGTGCAAAAGCAGTCAAGTTTACTTTAGCTGATAACCACCTGCATTTTCCAGGAATGTGAGACCCTTTCCAGTCTGGCTTTCCTTGTGGCAGCTATGCTTCCTTCCCCCAGCCCCTTCCCCAGGTATCCCAATGAAGTATGTCCCTTTCCATGGTGACACCAGCTCCCCTTGCCTCACTTCATGCTCCACTTCTTCCTGCTGGCACCCTTAAAGCAGATATTCTACGGCCTGAGGGGACCTTGGAGCAGAACAGGAGTGACAGAGACATCAAGGGGTGTGACAGTCCCCAGTGGTGTGTCACTGTTCTCAGGGCATGTGGCTGTGGCAGTGCCTGGTCTGAGCTGGCAAAGGGCACAATCTCTGGAAAGGCAGAGCTCACCCAAACCCACCAGGTCCCTGGCCAGGGCCTGTGCAGGACTGTCTGACTCTGCCATGGCATGTAGGTCAGGCAGAGGAAGTAGAGCTGAACCACAGCTTGCTCTGGAAAGCAGAAGTAAGCCCAGCCTTCCACCTCCCTTTCCATCACTTGATGTACTCATCAGTGAGGAACTGAGTTCTCTTTCCTCCATGTGTTGTCTCTCCCTCTCCTCCAGCAGCTGGCATCTTCTGCTTTGCTCCAGCAGCCTGCAAACATCACCTTGAGCACAACTTACTCTCCAGACTCCATGTAGGCCCTACATCACTACGGTCACTACTTTTTAATTAAAAAGTCTAAAACCCCAATGAGTCAGTTACTGGCCCCACTGTACAGGTCAGGAGAATCCTGTATCTTGCTGGGTGACAGGGATATCAGCACAACTGTTCTCCATTAAGTCCTTTGAAGGACACATAAGCTTTGCAGGAGTCAAAAAAGGTGAAAGCGTGAAAGGCACAGAAAGGCCACACTCACACCTTCAGTTCTTGCACTTTCCTGGTGCTGTGAAGACCAGCCTGCCACTGACCAGCTCCCACTCCTTGGTGGGGTGTCCCTGCTAAGAGGAATGAGTATGGCAGTTTGCAGGACTCGAGCACTTGCAGTGTTGTCATCTCCCACAAACCTGACCTGGCTGGTTGGAGCCCGAGCTGTGCAGCCTCAGCACTTACCGTGCTCTGGTAGGTCCAGTACACGTAAAAGCCCTGGGGATCCACTCGGAGAATCACAGGAGAAGCATTTGATGTTTCCTGACAGAAAAAACAACAAAAGAAAGAATGTTGGCACCTTGGGTGACTTGGAGAAAACATCCACAAGGTTTTAGGAGATTTTAGGACATCTCCACTGTGACACCTGTGAAGCTCTGGAAGCTGAATCCTGAGTCTCACCTAACCTGTGCATTTAACAAGAACAGCTCTCTTGGAGCTTTTGACACAAAGAAACAAGATAAAGTATCTGGAGATTCAATTAATTGTTTCATTTGAAAAGTCTTCTTTGACCTGCTTCATTCCACAAGCTCAGGAGTAACCCAGGCCAAGCAGAGAAAGCATTCATTGATGGCATCTCCCATCCAGGTGTCCATGCAGATTATCTAGGCTCCTAGTCAGGAAGGCTTCCAGGAGGGGATGCATCAATGCAGCATCACTATGCTACTTCAGATGGGGATTCTGAAACTCCAGACTGTCTCTACACTGACCATAGAAAGAAGCAGCTGTGCAGACACCCACACCAGAGGCCGCAATCAGATGAAATCATTTGGGGCTCATCCTGAACCCCACACAGCCATTTCTGGGAAAGCTCCAAATTCAATTCAGGAAGCTGAAGCACATCACTGCTACTATGAAACCAGTAATGAAATCTGGAAGTTGTACTTGTCTCTTGGCCTCAGATTTCTGAGTTTTTTACTCATACTTCACTCTAGAGTGTATCGATATTTTCAGGGACCTCCATTTCCACACATAATATTTGCAGTAAAGTGCTCATTGCACAGCACATCATATGTGGTCCTTTTACTGCCTCCTGTCTTCCTCCTGCTGTGCCAGGGCCAGCGCCAGCCTGCCCAGCACCATGTCCATGTTCCCAGAGCTCTTGGCTGGTTCCCTGCACACATGGCCATGGAGAGCAGAACAGGCTCCACAGTACCACCACAGAGGATCATGCCGTGTTCTAGATGACCCTTATCTCCCACAAAGCAGCTTTCTGGAGGGCAAGCTGAGGCTGCAAGGAAGCTGCTGCCAGCCAGACTCCTAGGCAGGGCCAGGCCTGCCAGGGGTGCAAGCAGCCTCTCCAATGGGGCAGCTCCTGGCAGCAAAGGAAACGGGCAATCCTGCAGAAGATGGTCTGGCAGCCAAACTGGCTGCTTCTCACTGTGGGGCAAAAAGCAAACACTGTCTGCTAAAATCCTGTAATCCATAATCTTTCAGAGATAGGAACAGTTTTGACTCTACTATGAGGATTCAGAGGCAGCACAGAGCCAAACCCATACCCACCTGCCCTGCTCTAGAGGTCAGCTACTGCCTTGTGCCCTGCCTGGGGTTCTGACAGGGCTCCCAGCTGGTTCTTCAACTCAGCTACCACCCATGTAGCAGAACTTCACCTCTTCAGTCTGCTTAGGAGCCCCAGCTTGCTGGATGCTGAACAAAGCACTGCAGAGCTGCTCCTTACCCCAGGGTCCTGCAACTAACTCCGTGGGACAGGTCAGAACAGTCCTGCCTGTCAGGGATCCATTGCTCTCTCCTCTAGACTGTGCCTTACCAAAGCTGGACAAGGTGAGGGCTCTGTAGAAAAAGTGTGGATTTGCTTTTTTGCTGGAAGGCCCAAGCTGAACAGTGATGTAAGAGGCCAATCTGATCTTCCTTAACTCCTTTGCCTCACTTATCCTGGAGGGAGTTCAAAACTGTTACCAGCAGTACAGTCATGTCAATTGAAAATACAAAACACTCAACACTCATGAATTCTAAAGCGCAGCAATCCTGCAATCTGGAGCTCTCACCATCATGCTCTGCAGCCTGTTCTAACCATGGATTGGGAAAGCCCAATGTGATGGAGCAATGTGACCAGAACAGCCCACTCAGGGAGAAGCCTTTCTTGATTGGTGAAAATCAGGCCTGTAAACTACTTAGTTGAGGCAACCGCTTAGAATTGTTTACAAATATATAAACCTTAAGGAAAGATCCAGACAGGAATTGAGCTCACTAATCAACAGCTACAGCAGGAAATAAACACTTGGTGGGTCTTGGAAGCCCAACTGACTCACCTTGGTTTTCAGGGGAACCTATCCCAGGAATACCCAGTGAAGTACTTAACAGCTTCCAGTTCTTGGGAGAATGCTCCCCAAGGACTGAGCACAAACTCATCAGCAATTTTAGACAAGTTTGGCTATTATTATTCTGAGAAAGCAGATTTCAAATTCTAAGAAGTCCCAAGTGCACTCTGCAGGCAGTGGACCCACAGGAAAGAGGAAGGCTGTGCTTTTCAGTGTACCCCAGTGTCATCCTCCTGTTTATGTACTGCTAACAGGGCAACTGGCAGCCATATTCCAACTCATATTCCTCACATCCATCCTTCCTGCCAGCTACACAGTACACTGCTCTCATTCTCAGTGCCGCTGGACCGCCCCACTGATGTTGTGCACAGGTGATCCCCTCCCCACATGCTCCTTTGGGACTTAATACTCTATTCCAGCTTCACACCCACAAAAGTGCTAATCCCTCCTGCACTGCTGCTGCAGGCTCCTTCTGATCATCTCATTTGCAACACCACATGAACCATGTCCCCAGACCCCTGTGAATAACCATAATGTGGGCTTTCCCCCTTTCATCAACATTCATGCTCAACAGCAGACAGTCCATCTCCAGACAGCACAGATGGGCAGCTGCTCTCTCTCCTCCTGCTCAGGTTTGTGGGTGCTGGGGTAAGCATTCCTTTGCCTCCTTAGAAAATGAGGAGGGGAACCTTTACATTCCAATTAACTGCTGCTGCTCTACACTTTCTTCCCCTCACACAGAAAGGCAGTGATGCAAAGCAGCTGTTTTGAAGGTAAAGAGGACAACGAGCTGGAGAGCGCAGCAGCTTGCTGCAGCATCTTGAGGCTTCAGCCCTGTTGAAGCACAGGCCCTTTGCTGTTCAGTCATTCCCAGACCCAGTGGCTGGGCAGGCGTGGGAGGCCATGGCTCACCCCCAATCCACTCAGGCAACAGGGCCATAAGAGGAAGCAACTTGGAGCCTGATTTCATCTCTATCTGAAAAGTGCAATGCGTGCTCTTTGCTCTGCAGTAGATCCTACCCCTCATGCTCCTCCAGAAAGTCCAAATGTGGCATTTGCATCTTGCCCCACAGGGACTCCCAGCAGTGACCACCTTCCTAAGGTTCGGACCTTCTGTCCTACACCAGGGGCTGCACACACAGACCCAGTGCACACTCACTCCATTTGTTTCCATCCTCCACTATAAGCAGTGTAGAAAACTTATCTCCAACCCCTTACACACACACACAACATCCCCTTTACTTCAGTCCTCAGCTTTCCTGTTGTTGCCAGTTCCCTTTCCCCATCCAGAGATCTCTGCTGTCAGGTGGGATACCACATTGAACACAGGCTCCCAGCCGCCCCACAAACTGTGACCTAACCAGTGTCTCCCTGCCACGACAGGCACAGCCTAGGGAAGGAACACCCCAGTACTTACATCATCCCATTTGATGAAGCGGTCGCCCTTGCACAGGTAGTCCTTCACCTCCGTGAGCTGCAGGACAGGGTTCAGCACAGACATGGTCGTGCAGATGTGCTCCTCAGCTACCAGAAGCAAGAGCAACTGCACAGTTCACTCCTCCTTAGCCCCCTCTCCTCTATCTCTGCCTCTCACGTGGCAGGGCGTTCTGCCATGGCCACTGTTGGCATCGGAGAGCAAACAACCTCTTATATCCCAGCCCAATTTAGGAGGGGCAGGGACAGGCAGGCGAGGAGCGATGAATCTGCATTGTAAATCAACAGCTCTCCAGGCAAGCAGAGCCTCACCCAAGGTCACCCAGAGGAAGGCTGGCGATGGCTGGGGTGCTGGTGGGCACAAACACCCACCGTCCCTCCGGGAGGGATCCACTCCTTGGAGCTGTGCTGGTGAGGCACCCGGCTCGGTGAACTTCCGCAACTCAACTTCCTTAAATGCTCTCTTGACGAAGTACAGGCATTGCCAGAAATGCTCCAACTGCTTCAGCAGCTGTGGTTACAGAGCAGCTCAGCTCTGGCTACAAGCAGACTGCCCCCTTCATGCAAGAGGCCAGATGTCCCAGGAAACAAACTCCTTCCTTGCTCTGGACAGATTCCATTTCTGGGGCCACTCACTGCACTGTCCAGTCTTAAACAGTTTTCCTTTCTCTTATGGGCTCTTCTGAATGTCAGCCTCAAAGTGAGGCAGACCAGCAGGGCAGCTGGAAATTCCCCAGATGAAATAAAACATTCCCAGAGTCCCAGGAACTGCGCTATTCCAGACTCACTTGGCTCTGTGGCAGATACACGGGACACAGAACAGGAGAGGTGGGCAAGATGGAGATTATAGTGACAAAGCAGCAGGGAAATGACCAAAAGCAGAACAGGTTAAAGGCAAACTGGGCCAAAATGAGTCTCTGCTCCTGACCTTGGAACAAAGGAATTCCATGTGGGCAGCAGAGGAGAAAAGGAGCTCCTGATGGGCACTGGCTAACCTGGAGAGCAGCTTATGAAAAGGTGTGACATGGCCAAGATCAATTTTAGTCAGAGGCAGAGCCCCACAACTAATTACAAGTGGAAATAACTGTGGATTGCTGTGGATTCCCAGGCACGTGGCGGGATGTCATCCTCATCTCCTATCAAAGCCAAGGTTGCCATTGCTCAAAAGGGACAAGCTGCTGGCAAAAGTAGCACAGAAAAAGGGGGAGAACACCCCCCCCCCCCCCCCAGTAAGGTGAGCCAGCTGCACGTTTTGTTCCTTTCTTTCTTCCCCGCCCTGATAAGTCTGGCACTTTGGAGCAGCCTGGACAGCTGGGGAATGGTCACTGAAGGAATCCTAAGGGCATTCTCAGGTGCTAGTGGCGTGAGGCAGGAGAGATTAAGTGGAACTCTAGTAAGTGCTCCAACTGTAGAACAGTCAAGGCAGGAATCAGAGCTCCCTGCTGCAGGATAAGAGAACCCTGAGCAAACACAACATCCTTTGTCTTTCAAGGGGTTTACCTGCCAAAAAAACCCCTGGGAATAAGAGAGCTCCCATATTTCCAGCTACCATGGCATTTTCTGCATTTATCAATCTTGCACTTACAGGAATTGGCTATCCAACAGAAGGCAGTTGGCTCTTTCCTTAAGGTCACTGGGATATTCCAAGGCCCAGCCAAGCCAGTGTCACCAGGATCCCACACTCAAGAAAAGTGGTTACTCCCAAGCAGAGAAGCAGAAGATGACAAAAGGTGCAGTGAGGAGTGAAAGTTCTCTACACTCGCCTGATCTCTTCTGCAAGGCCAGAGCAGCTTCAGGTTTGCTTCCCTTTAAATTAGAGAGCAGCAATGCAGAGAATAGAGTACATTAATCTTGCTCAGAGGTGCTGCAGTCCTCCCAGCCTCTGGAACACTGACAGCACTGCAGGAAGGCCCTGGAGGTCACAGCTGCAAAGCAGTGAGAGGTGGGATGAGCTTTGCCACCTGGTACTGCCAAGGGCAGGTGAGATCAGTCATAGCTACTGGATCCCGTGGCTTGACTGGTACTATCAGTTATCACAGCTTTGTGAACCAAGTGTGCTTCCTGCCAGGGCCTCACTGAGAGGCTGCTTCTGTCCTTCTCTCACACCCGGATATTCACCAGCTTTCTCTGCCTCATCAACAAAGTAAGCAAGAATCCTGCCACAGCTTAACTCACAGGTTGCTTAAGGTCAGCTTCCCCCAAGGAATAAAACCTTAATTCAATGAATAATGAAATCATAATTAAGACCCAACCAAACACAAGCAGCATGAAGAGCAGTGCCCAAGTTGGTGGCTGCCCTGCAAGTCCACGTGATGCCCAACAGCAAAGGCCAAACCCCCACTTGCACAAAGGTTGTCACAAAAGCTCTTGCCCAACCCAGCCTCCTTATCTTCCACTTCACACTCCTTGCTTTGTAGGAGCCTCTGTCCCTTGCATGCAGAGATGGCTGATGGAGCCCTGATAGGACAGAACAGCAGTACTGCCCTCTGCAGAGGGCTCCAACATCAGAGCAGGCACAAACAGCAGTACTTGAGCAGTAGTTGTTTATTCAAAGAATCCTTTATTTTCTCTCTCCTATAAGGCACATCACCCACTGTACACTCATCCCACACCCCTCTGTCTCCTTGCTTTCCTCCCATACCTTCCCTGACAGGCAACCCACCACTTGCTACAACAGTTTTGATATGCAAACATTTAATTTTTTAAAATTTAATATTCTTCCTTCTCTTCCTGTACTACCTATCCGGCAGCCTGTACCCCCCCAGGGTGCATGCAGCAGCAAGGCAGGCAGCATCACCCTTCAGACAAGGTTTCCAGACACTGATTTAAGCCACACCGTTAAACCTCTCTTCTGACTTCCAGCAAATTACTATAACCTCCACCCCAGCTTACTCCTGGCACAGAAAATCTGTAAGAGATCTCTCGCAGCATTGTTGCAGGAGAATTACTTTGCCATGTGTAATGCTGTCCTCTAGTGAAGAGCTGTGACACTGCACATAGCAGTGAACTCCCAGCTCACAAATGCCAGCCCATCCCACTGCTCCTGTGGCTGCTCTGCCCTCAGAACGCTGGCAATCCGGAAAGGATTAACGATACCATTAAGACCACAGAGCCAATATTTTCTTACCACCCTAGAGAGCAGAACTGCTGAGTGTGTGAACAGGGACATATCTTGTGTCCCACTTCGAGCCGAAACCACAAGGCCAAGGACTCCTGACAGCTCTCAGCATGACTCTTCAGCTTGATCTGCAAAAGTCAGAGGGCAGTGGACTGTTGCACAGAGAAATGGCCACAGATGCCACAAAACCATAAAAGCAGTGAGGTCTTGTGCAAAAAAACCCCAAACCCCAAGAAACTATCTGTCCAATCACCAAGACATGGTTAGGCCTATAATTAACTGCTCGCTGGGCAGTGTGTTGTGTTTACAGCACTGACGGCTTTCAGCGTATTTCCAAGCAGCGCAGTGAGTGCTGCAAGCAGGATCACATTTAAACATCCCATGCATTCCTGCAGTGCCAAGTCACTGCTGCCTAGGGTTGGCTAAACCATGCCATTCCTCACTGCTGGGAAAAGAACAAGACTTTCCAAGACAGGTCATTAACAGGAAAGGAAGAGCACGAGGAGCAGTGGCACACAAACAATGTGCTCATCTCATGGTACACTTCAGTAGCAGAGTAACAAGAAGAGGAAAGCAACTTGTGCCACACCTGGAGGTGGATGCAGCCAGTTCCCACCTGTATTTACCTCCAGTACAAAACACTGCACAGGAAATTAGGATACTGGGGGAGAAAGCCCCATTCTGCTCTTAAGCTCATCAACATTCCCACTGCACCAGCCCAACTTACTCCAACTGTTTGCCTACTCAGTTCACAAAACTGAACAGGTGTCAGCCATGGTCCTCCCCGACTCTTCCACAAATTTCACTTTTCCACATGCTAGCCCAAAGCTCTCATTTCCATAATATCCAGCCTCAACCTACAGCATTCTCCTCCTCCCTGCAAAGGCCTTTGCACAGCTCAGAGAGATGTCCCAGGCATCCCATCCAGTATTCTGCTACTCTCAGAAGCAGGGTCTGCATGGAGAGAATCTATCTCAGGCCGGCAATCTTCCCTTAATGAAGTCTTCCCTATCCTGCAGCACTGGGAGGCTATTCACTGACTGTAATTGTGGAAAATCAATAACACAGGTTCATTTAGCTACATCCTTCAGGGGCCCTTGGAGAGCAAACAAACATCCCAATGCAAGAGGTAGCAGCAGAATTCAAGCTTTCTAGTGGACCCTCAGACATGAGAAGTCAAAATTAAAGGAGCTTATAAAGAACAGGAGCCTGCAGAGCAGTTTTTGGCGTGGTGGGAGGAAGGCTGTTTAGGGACTCTGCAGCTCTCCTTCCTTGGCAGGAGTCCCTGAGTGCATCATGTAGCCCTGACTCTGTCTCCAGCAAGGGATCTCTTCTGTGCTCTTTAGGAAGAATCCTAGAGAGGGATAATTTGCAAGCTGTGTCTAGTGTCAGACATAGTCACTGACTTTACAACACCCCAGAGCTCCAGTTTTGCACCACAGGAGTCCACTCAGAGCACAGCTTGGTGTTTTTGCTAAAACCCCAAGGACAAAGCAAGAACCATTACTGCAGCTCCTTTAGGGGTGGTTGTTAACAAGGAATTCTGTTTAGGAAAGAAGGCACAGACCTGCTCACACCCGCCTGGAGAGAAGCTCACACACAGTTGTTTGTCCGCAATAAAATGAAAAGCTTTCACCTGACCTTGGCAAAAGCCAAGACTTCACATTTAACGAACACAAGCCTGGTCTTACTCAGAGCCCTGAGAGCAGAGGGTTGGCAGGGAGAAGAGAGCCTTAAGAATATCGAATTTCTTGAATATTACCATGGAACTGTGTGTTTTAGGAAGGGCAAGTCTCCACTGCAGCATGAGTGAGTCACAAATAAATGCAACAGGGAGGTGAAGCTGTTGGGCTGAAGGCAGAACATTGCAAGCCCATCACACTCAGTACATTTGCTGGGAATGTTCCAACAGTTCTGCACATCCAGGCTTATCTGGTTCCTAAATAGGGAAAGGTGAATACATGTTTTGAGAATGAACAGATACATCTATCATATTGCTAATGGTATTGGTTGATATGAGTGGATACATACAACATTTGGCTGGAAGGTTCATCGAGAGGTCAGCTTTGCTCAGGGCCTGTGTTCAGGCCTCAGTACTTCAAGCCAGCAAGCACCAGGCAGAAACTGTCAAGACCTCACTAAAGCCCAGAGGCATTCTTGGTACATGCCAACCCTCTGCCTCTTCACTGGAATTAAGCAAGAGCATAGGGAAGGGACTTGTAGGAGGTAGTAACTCATCATCATTTCACCTGCTGAACCAAAAAAGAGAAGGAGCTGGAGCAAACCCATCATTGAGAGAAAACACATTAAAAAATGACTAGAAAATCCATTTTGTAGTAATTGCTACAAATTCCCTTTCCAAGAATTACAATTATTTTGCAGCTGCTCCATTTATTCCATAACATGTCTTATTGGGGAAGCCTCTGGGTAACAGGCAGTTCTCCAGCTGCTGTAGCCTCCTCCAGATCTACAAGTCCTGGTTTACACAAGGTTTTTGCTGCAACCACCACACCTGACTGACCTCAGACTGAAGGGAGCGAGAAGATGATTGCAGAAGGCACAACTACATCATTCCCAAAAGTAATTTTCTTGCACCATAAAGAAAAAAAAAGCTAATTTATATCCCAAATTAGCATTTTAGTTGTCTTTTGAACAAGACAATAGAACAATTTTGTAGGGAGCTAATACCTGTGGAGTAAGGTGAAGCCATATCTTAAGAGGACGTTTAGATTGTATCAATAACGAGTTTGGGAAGAGTCCAATTTGGGCAAAACTGAGGCAGCCTTTCCCTCTAAAAAACTGCCACTTGGCTCGGGCACCCTTGCAGTCTCACAGAGGTGCAGGCAGCACATACCTGCATCGGGGAGACCGCAAAAAGGAACTCCGTCGGGAAGCCAAGGTAGAGAGGAGACTCCTGACCTCCTCCAGCGCTGGGCGCGTTCCAGGAGGCCGTGCCAGAAGCCCTCCTGGGGCTCGACGAGCGCTGCCCATTCCCTGAGGCACCGCTCACCGGCCACCCCTCACTCCGGGGCGGGCAAGGGGTGGGGAAACACGGGCACCGGGGGCGGGGGCTCCTTTTAAAGGATGGTCCGAGCTCCGCCCCCTGCCCTCCCCTGCCCTCCCACCCCTCCTGTGGTTCCCACCCCTCAGGGCGGGGTTGCCCCCTACGCTCCGCCCCTCGCCCCCGGCGGGGCAGCGCGGGCAGCGGCACCGGTGGCAGCACGGGCGGTACCGGCATGTCCTGAGCGGCGGCGGCGGCCGATCCGGGCCGGAGCCAGCACGGAGGGCTCGGTGGAGCAGCGGGCCAAGGGCCGGGCCTCCATGAAGGAGAAGGAGGCGGGCGCGGAGCGGGGCAAGCCCGCCACTTACACCGGGGACAAGAAGGCGCGCATGGCGGCCAAGACCAACAAGAAGTGGGTGCGCCTGGCCACCGTGCTGGCCTACGTGCTCTCCGTCTCGCTGGCCGCCATCGTGCTCGCCGTCTACTACAGCCTCATCTGGCAGCCGGTGCGCGGCAGCGGCGGCTCCTCCAGCCCCGGCCCCGGCGCCGCCGCCACCCCCGCGCAGCTCCGCGCCGCGC